AAAAAAAAAAAAAAAAAAAAAAAAAACAACCATATCTTTGCATCTAAATCTTTGCATGAACCTTTAATTACGTTCTAGGATAAATTTCTAGAAATGGAATTCACTGGATCAGAGGGAATGTACGTTTATAAAGGTTCTTAATATGTTTAGCCAAATTACTCCCCTGAAAGTTTGCACTCATTTGCATTCCCAGTAGCAGGAGGCCCAGTTTTCACTCTCTTGCCTTAGAAGAAAGGGAACTAGAACCAGCATTTGCCTCCATCTTTTTACATCAGGTTATGATGGTGAGGTAGGTAACCCTTCCGCTCCCACAGGCCAATTTCCACATGTTTTGCTGGAGCCCACTCCTCTCACCTTCTCCGGGACCTCATTACTAACGTATCCTCTCCCTCCTCTCTCAGCATCAGTCTTCTTCCTCCCTCCTTTATCTCCCTCACCAGGGACTTTCATGTTCTAAATCTAATGGACACATTCGACCTTTCCTTCTGTCTTTAAAACATTATTTTTCAAGACAAAAGGAGAATTCAGATGTTTTAAATTATTGCTATATTTAAGCATATTACTTCCCCACCCTCTTCCTCTCCAGTAAATTCTCAGTCTCTTGACTAGATTCTCCTTTTCTTCTTTGGGACTTCTGAGAACTTGGTTCTGGGCTCTCTCTCCATTTTACATGCTCTCTAGGCTTCTTTCGTTACCATGGCTTTACGTGCCACCTGTGGGGTGACGATTCCTAAATTTATATCTCCAGCCCAGTCCTGATTTTTCAGATTTGGACATCTCCACTGGAGTCTTTCACAGGTATTTCATACTCATACAGGTGTCTAAAACTGAACTCCTGCTCTTCTCCCAACTCTCTTCTTTCAGTTCTCTCCATTGCAGTAAATATCTTAATTTCACCCATTTGCTCAAGCTAGAAACCTCCTCTTTTCCTCCTTAACATCACCTTCATCAAAAACCTTATTCCTATGCTAATCACTCCTGCCTCATCATATGCCAGTCTCCCCTAGTTCAACCACATAGGCCTTCTTTCAGTTTGTCAGAGGCTTTACACTTCTACCCCAGGGCCTTTGCACTTGCTGTTTCCTAGCTTGCAATACTTCCCCCCCTTTCCCTAGCTCACTTGGTTATCTCCAGTTTATCCAACAGTCCCAGCTTAAATATCATTTCTTCAGAAAGCCTTCCCTGGTTCTCCATTCCAATTTAAATTAATCCCGCTCTGTTACTGTCTCTCATTATGCCTTTACTTCCCCATGCATATATATGTATTTTTGTGTGTGTGAGTATGTATTTAGTATATATCCCCTCATTAGACTATAAACTCTCTGAGGGGAGAGGCCTTAACTATTTTATTCATCATTTTGTATCCAGAACCTTCCACAGTCAATAGCACAATGTAGACATTCAACAAATATTTATTGAATGAATGAATGAGTGAATGAATATAAGATTCTGCAAAATATCATAAAAACCAGTTTCCCAAGTCTTTGCTTTTTGATCCCTTTTATGCTTCCAAGTTTTCAATCTATGTGTCATAAATATTTTTATTTGTGATCTTTTAGGAAGGAATAAGTAGCAGTAATAATTACTAATGTATTTAATGTAATGAATGAACAGTGTTCTTTTACACATTTTACTTTATTTTACCAGAATAATATCTTTGCAAGGAGGTATGTATTAATGTCCATGTTTCCACCATGAGAAAAATAGATCAGAATGAGGCATACTTAAAAAAAACTATCTTCCAGGAAAAGGAACTTCTTTCAAAAGAGCAAGACATGTCAAAATCTTATAATCTGTCAATTTTATATATTTGCCGGAGTATTTTTTGTTTTTCTAGATGATGCAAAATTGAGAGGTCTTGCAGCCCCCAGTAACCTTTCTATGAATCAGACTCTTGAAGGTCATAGTGGTGAGTCATGTAATTTTTTAAATTGTATTTAAATAGTATTGTCTTTAGGTTTTAGAAACCATCTACTTAATGCAGAAATGCCAACATTTTAAATAATGGTAATATTTCAAGTAATCATTTCTGTTGAGCCATAATTAATATAGCCTAGTGTCATTCAACAACTTTTACACGATTTAACATTTTCAGTAAATCTGAAAAAAGTAGCTATTTTGTATATTAAAAAATATCATTATCCATCTATGGATGTATAATCCTTTTTAAGAATCTGTGAGATTAAAGAGACATAACAACTGAATGCACTATATAATCCTAGATTGGATCTTGGAATGAGAAAAACAAGTATCTATAAAGGACGTTATTTGGACAGTTGATGCATATGGACTGTGAGTTAGATAATAACATTGTGTCAGTGTTCAATTTCCTAGTTTGTAATATGGTTATGAAAGACAATGTTCTTGTTCTTAGGAAATATACATTGAAGTATTTAAGGATTTAAAAAACAAAAAATAAATCAATTGTTCATATAACCCAGAGGTTTAAGATAGGCTCAAGAGTGTGTTACTAATAGAATGGAAAACAAGGGGGTGGGGAAGAGAGATTAGGGGACATATCAGCCAAAATCAAACCACCCCCCTTGCCTCTCGCCCCCAAATCCTAAGTACTTAGTATGCTGTCCTTTGGGCATTATAATCCTTGGGAGTCAGGCCAGTTGGGTAAATCATACTTACACTGTTTCTGTCGTCTGATATATGGCACCTCTGGCAGCTGACTAATAGGTGCCTTTGCTGGCATGAAATGAGAACAAACATGAAAAACAGTGTCATTGTAGAAAATGAATGATAGTAATAGCTGCATCCTATGAATATTTTTGAGTAATATTAAAGACTGGTTAGTTGCACAGGAACTGTATTGATTTTAACCTGCTCTTGGTGTTTATTGTAAAAATCTAAATTTGAAATTAATTCTAGCCTTTTTTTTAGTTTCTAAATTGTCTTATAATTTTTCAGGTTCTGTTCAAGTTGTAACATGGAATGAACAATATCAGAAGTTGACTACCAGTGATCAAAATGGGCTTATCATTGTGTGGATGTTATATAAAGGTATGTCAGGAGAGCTTATTTAATCTTTCACAGATTGGAGTCTGGATTACAGTATTTGAATAGGGAAATAATGTCTTTGAAATGGACCACTTTTAACCAGCAACAGGAGTTCATCCTAACAGCACAGTGATGGTATTTTGGGATTTTTTGCTGCCTCCTTTTCAGTTTAACTTTATTTCCTTTTAACTGTGACCTTGTGTTAAGAAAGTGACTTAGGTGACTTGGTTATCTCCAAAATGAACTTAGACTCTTAGTAGAATGGTTTCTGCTTGAGATAGTTCTTTTTATCCAGGTTTCCAAAAAGAACTAGTTTCCATGTAGTCAGTGGCTGGAGTTAGCTCAGTAGATGAAAACATTTATTAACAAGTCAGAGGCCATAATTCATTTCCTTTATTGAGTCAATTAACTTCCTTTTCTCTCATGGATGCAGATTTTCTTTCAGCTCTGACTGCTAGCTCACAATTTGTGTCTTTTCCCGCAAGAGAGCAAGTGAGAGAAGGATTAATTTAGATGCATCACTATTACCAGAACAGTAACTCGTAGTACACGTTCTCCTGAGGCCTGTAGCCATCATTTTCAAACGAAAGGGTACCTTAGTTCATGTGTGTTGTTTTGAAAATATTCAGGGTATACTGTTTAAAAATTCTTAATTAAAAAATATGCTGATTACATGAATTAATTTTTTTAATGTATATGTGTGTGTGTAGGGACCACAGCGTGAAAGTACAGGAGATTAGAGTAAACTTTTTCTTTCCTCCAGGTAGATCTTCTCTGGGCCTTAGTCCTAACTCTGTTAATACCCTGCTCTGACTAGTTATTCCAGATTACATGGTTATTTGCTTAGCTGCAGACCAGAGTTCCCTATACCAGAATGGAGTCAAGCCTTTTAAAAAACAGCAACAAAACAAAATAGCCTTGTGATTTGCCTCACCTTTGGTTATGCAGGGAGACAAGTCACATCTCACTCCAGCCCTGTCCACGACAAGAATGGTTTTGTCACTCAGCATTAGTGATGTGATATCACTAATACGCTATGAGCAGTTTTAAATTATTTTCAAGTTTTTACCGAAAATGCTTTTATTTACTATGCTTACAATTAATCGTTAGAGAGTTTATGCATATGTATAAAGTTACTGTGGTTATTCTGAATTTTCTTTGGTTATTATCTGAAGTGTGTTCGAGAGGGAAAACTTAGGCTTTAAGAAAAGTTCGTTTTGGCCCTGTAAAAGCAAATGAAGATTTATTTTTTAGTTGACAGAAAGAAAGGAAGAAGCAGAGATAGAGAAAGAGAAAAAAGATGGGCATTTATTATGTTTTCTGTGATAATCTTTGAAGCAATTATTAGTCAAGGCCTAAGTTAATTTTTCATTTTGTTTATGTTAGATTTGAAAGTTTTAGAGTTTAATGTCTCAGGTTGTAGAAAAATTTGCAATTTTTATTTCACAGTGTAGTTTATGGAATATTTTCAGCCCTTAAATACTATTTAACAGATATGTAACTTTTGGCTTGTGATTTTTCTTTATTTGTGAAAATAGGCTCTTGGTATGAGGAAATGATCAACAATAGAAATAAATCAGTGGTTCGAAGTATGAGCTGGAATGCTGATGGGCAGAAGATCTGCATTGTATACGAAGACGGGGCTGTGATAGTTGGTTCGGTGGATGGTAATGCATTGATTGCACACAGAGCTAAGATCAAGATTTAGCTGACATTTTTATCTTTAGAAATTTAAATTATCATGTGTTAGCATTCTGACAGAAAAATAAACATAAAAAGAGAAAACTTTTGATATAAAATTTGATGACATTCAAGAACCATTTATTTATTTATTTATTTATTGTGAGGAAGATCAGCCCTGAGCTAACATCTGCCAATCCTCCTCTTTTTTTGCTGAGGAAGACCAGCCCTGGGCTAACATCCGTGCTCATCTTCCTCTACTTTATATGGGACGCCACCACAGCATGGCCTGACACGCGGTGTGTTGGTGCGCGCCTGGGATCTGGGCCGGCGAACTCTGGGCCACCACAGTGAAGCACGTGCACCCAACTGCTTGCGCCACTGGGCAGGCCCCAAGAACCATTTATTTTTAAGTTTATTCAAAGAGAAAAATCTATTTTTAAAAAATTTCCTACAGTGGCACTGAAAGTGAATTAATTTTTCAGTATTATTTTAAATATGTCTGCCTGATTATATAATTTATCTTTACACTTGTTAGACTAAATAAATATGTAGATTTTAGTTTCAAAAAGTAGATAGAGTTATAACAATCTCTGGTTTTTTTTTTTTTTTTTTACTAGAGCTAAGCATGTCATTGTTATTTGTGTTTTGTAGCCTTAAAACCTGTTTTTCAAATTCTAGAACATGGATAAAACTGGGTCTTCTGAAAGTCTGTACCTTTATTTTAATGTAAAACTGTCGATAGAGAAATAATTTATTTTAAGATCATTTTCTTTTCTTTTTTTTTTTTTTGGTGTAACTTCATGTAATCCATGAATGTTTCTGAGAACCTATAAAGTCGCAAGCTGTCGTTCTAGGCACTAGGTACAACAATGAAAAGTATTCCAGATCTAAGTCTGGAATAAGTAACCAAGCAATTACGATGCCTGGTGCTAAGTCCCTCAATAGAGAGAGATCTTTGCAAAGCTAGGAAGGGATCAGATCAGAGGATAGGTGGAAGGATTAGCCTTAGATGGTGTCTTCCTTTGTATTAGGCGGCAAAGCAGAAAGGATGTGTGGATTCAGTTATGTTCTGAATATTTGAAAATGGGAATGAAGGATTTCTTTTTTTGAAAGCTTTTATTTTCTTTCCAAAGTAGAAGATGGGTTCATCTGCTAATTGGGAGTGAGGTCCTGGGTCAGAATTTAGAAGAGAAGGGGGAAAGTCTGAAACAGTCACTGTTTCAAATGTTTAGTATGGTGTGTGGCACAGAGTAGACGCTCAGTAAATATTTATTGATTGAATAAATTGAACAAATGCATGAATACTGTGAAGAATGTGAGAGCTCTTTAGGGAAACAAAGACTTTTAGAGCAGTTGTTGGAGGATCATGACCTTGAACTTTTAATGGAATAAGTATGTTTTATGTTTTGTTTTAGGGAATCGTATTTGGGGAAAAGACCTGAAGGGTATTCAGTTATGCCATGTAGCATGGTCTGCGGATAGTAAAGTCTTACTTTTTGGAATGGCAAATGGAGAAATACACATTTATGATAATCAAGGAAATTTTATAGTAAGTATATATATATATATGCATTAGTTTTATTTATACAATTTTATATGATAATTTTATATATCACTCGTATCTGTATACACATTTATTTATTATGATGGTTTGTGTAATCAAGAAAGTCTTCAATTCAGGTTTTTTTCCCAATTGTCTAAAGATTTTTTTCTTAATTAAAAAAGACTTCCGGGGCCGGCCCCGTGGTTTAGCGGTTAAGTCCTCAAGCTCCGCTACTGGTGGCCTGGGTTCGGATCCCGGGCGCGCACCTACGCACCGCTTGTCTGGCCGTGCTGAGGCCGCGTCCCACATACAGCAACTAGAAGGATGTGCAACTGTGACATACAGCTATCTACTGAGGCTTTGGGGGAAAAAATAAAATTAAAAAAATTAAAAAAAAAAAAGACTTCTGTGTTGCTTCAAGGTAAGTTATTGTGACATGTAGAGGATAGCTTTAGTTCTGGTTTTCTGGAGGCTGGACAGGACGAGATTTCAGTGTATTGAAGCTGAGGGGTAATGAGTAGGATGAAGTGCAGTTTAATCTTTGGGTTTTCTAATACCCAAAGCCAAAGTTTATGTGTGATACCAAAGATATTTTTGTAGCAAGCTACTAATTGCAAAGGTTGTTTGTAAAAAGAATGGAAGACTTAAACAGTGAGGGAGAAAAATCAGGTCCTGGGAAGAAGGTGGGTAGAATGGTCTCAGGTAGCATAATCTCAAGAAAAATTCTGGCTTTGCCAGATTTGGCTATGGCAGATCTCTGATCTTACTTATGAGGCGATTTTGTTTTTAGTGAGGGTTAGGACATTACATAAATCCACCCCCTGGTGGAAGTGATAGTAGCTAACTTTTATATGACGTTTGCTATTTTCAAAGTACTTTCATATATCTCTTGTTATTTGAGTCTCATAAAAACTCTGTGAGTTTTTTTTTTTATCCTCATTTTGCAAATGGGGAAAACTGAAATTCAGGTGAAGTGATTTGTCAAGGGTTGCTAAACTAGTGAGTGATGGAGCTTACATTGGAAACTAGATTTTTAAATTCTATTTCAGTGTTCTTTCTACAGTACTCTATTCATGCTGATCTATTTAAAAATATAAAATATTAACCCAACTAATTTTATTTAGATGAAAATGAAACTGAATTGTCTGGTGAATGTCACTGGAGCAATCAGTATTGCTGGAATTCACTGGTACCATGGCACAGAAGGCTACGTGGAGCCAGATTGTCCTTGCCTTGCTATTTGTTTTGACAACGGGAGATGCCAAATAATGAGACACGAGAGTGACCAGAGTATGTCGTTTTTCTTTAGTGTGGAGAATTTAAAAAAATATTTTAAAATTGTTCTTAAAATTATAAAGTTCTCTAGGCTAAGTATTTTACCAGTCACCTCACTTTTTCTTTTTGACTAGATCCTGTTTTAATTGATACTGGCATGTATGTAGTAAGTATCCAGTGGAACCATGTTGGCAGCGTGTTAGCTGTGGCAGGCTCCCAGAAGGCCGTCACTCAGGATAAAGACGTAAACACTGTGCAATTTTACACTCCATTTGGTGAGGTAAATGTATTAAAGATTTTATCTTCTTTCTTTCCATTTAAATATGCAGCGAGTAAGGTAAGGGAAAAAAGAATGGAGGAAAAGGTATAAACTTGTCATTTTTTTTAGGGACATTTTGAGTAAAAATGATGAGATATCAGGTGTATGTCTTTGAATGACATCTTCATATTATAAATCTTCATAGTTGTATTTTATCGTGGAATTTATTTTATAATCTGTACTTTTAGAAAACTAGATGTTTCACATAAGAAATCACTGTGGAGTAGTTATTTGGAATATTTTCTCTGTGATCTGAATATGCATCTCTTTTCATAGCTGGCTTTTGAGTTGTTTTTAAGTATAATTTAGTTGTTTCAGATTAATTTTTCTGATTTTTAATGTGATATATTAAATGTGCATAGATACTAAGCGTACATATATGTCTATCCTTCCCAGCCTTCTAATAGTTTTAGTTTGTTGTGGAGTAATCAGTTATTTTAAGAAAATCTGTCTAATTAATCTTAGGTGATGCTACCTTAAAATATAAGCATCATTTTCATAAATTCATGTTATCTTTCTCAATAGTATTATTAATTTAATTTTTAAAGAGAATTTTTTTGAAATGGCATTGGGAAATATCAAGTAGGAGGATTGATATATTGTGACTTTTAAAGATTTTAGAAAATGAGAACTTACTAATAACTAAGCTTAATAAATTTGTACCTGTTTTATCTTCTAACCCTAGACTATATTCAGTCCCTTTTGAATACCCTGTTGGTTTTTATAAATTCACTATAGACTTCAATAATGTATATTTTTGGCTACACAAAAGCCCTCACCAGTTATTTTAGTATTAATATTTTTAATATATTTTAATAATTTCTGTAAGGATAAGAAATGGTGTCAGCTGATGCTTTTGAATTAATATCTCAGTTACCCACTAGAATGTGCTTAAGGAATAGGTGTTCTCTATACATTGTCAGCTAACAATATTTCTGGTAGTTGTAAAAGCTAAGATAAAACAAAAGCAGAGTTCCAAAGGTTCCTAAATAGTTAAAAATTTGAATTCTAGTTATTTTAATGTTTATAGCCTCCTTCTTAATTCACATTCTTTGTTGATTATGTTCGTTTGTTGCTGTTGGCTTATTTATCATTATATTGTTTAATCTGTTTATTTTTGTTAGGTCAGCCTTTTCCTAGTAGAAAAACATGGATTCTAAGGCCTATTTGCTTTATCTTGCAAAATGATGTGTTATGTGTTAAATTGAAAACTGTAAGTGGTTTTTGTGTGGCTGTAATTAAAAGTAGTGAGCATAGTTCCTCAGAGTATATTAGTCACTTAATATTTTTTGAATGAATTTATGGGGGATTTATTTTTGGACCTGTTATTGTTAAGATAGGGCAGATAACTTAGAAGGAAGTTATCTGAAGATTTAAAGTTAAGGAAAACCTCAGGGTAGAATTTGCCTTTCATTCTGAGGGCTGGGGTCTTCCGGTTTCTGCACTGTGGTCTTAGCCCTGGCAGGGGTTTGTAGTCAGGTTGACCTGGCTTTGGCTTTGAATTCCGTGTCCACAGTGTAGTTTGACTTAGAGAAGCTATTTAACTTCTGAGACTCTGTTTACTTATTTTCTGAAATAAAGGTAATACCTCACAGTGCTGTTGTAAAAATTGAAGGAGATAACACTGAGAAAATGCCCACCACAGTGCTTAGTGAGTGCTTACTACAAGGCGGTTTTCTCTCCTGGCTGCTGCCACCACCTGGCTGGTTTGCAGATTTGGGAGATGGCCCTGTTCTCCCAGTGTGGGTTGTCAGCATCAAGCGTGCTGTTGTGAGTGCCAGCTTGTTCCCTTTGATTTCACACAGGCAGCAGGACAGAGTGACCCTCCTAGAGTTTTTCTTTTCCCCATTGGCTTCCCTGGCAAAATGGAGTTTAATACATTAAATTTGATTTTAGGGCATATTTGCTTAAGAACAAGGGATAGCAGTACAATTTGTTAAAATTCTTGGGATTATAGTGTTTTGTCAAATAAGTACAGATTAAAAATGGTTTCTTTTTATGGCCACATTAAAAATTTCTTTGCATTCATTTATTCACTCATTAATTTAGCCATAAAAGGTACTACATTTGTATGTGAAGAAATTAATTTGAATGCATGATACATTTATTTACTTAATACCTGTTTACTGAGCAGTCTATTAAAGGATAGGGAAATAAATGTGAATATGATATACTTAGTGCTCTCAAGTAGCTCACTGTCTGAATTCTCTGGAACCATAGAAGGAGGGAAGAGGGCATGAAACAATTTTTGAGTTGTATCTTGAAGGATAAATAGAAGTACTCCAGGAGGATAAGGAACAGTAGGACAGGGGAAGCGAAAGGAAAGGAGGATTTCAGGTGGGAGGGATGTTATATGGACCAAAGGTATGGGGGCCTAATAGTTCCCTCTTGAGGGAGAACACAGTAATTATGGCTGAATAGTTGGGTATTGAGGCAGAGAGAGTAGTTTTGGGTCAGATGGGAAAAGGCATGCTATACTATGCTAAAGAATGTAATGGTGGGAGCTATTGATTTTTAAAAATTATTAAAAATTTTTTAAAACAGAGTAGGATTTTATCAGATTTGTGTTCCGGAAAGATAAGATTGAATTTGAGGGGTAGAGGGTGGGAATGAGGAAAGAGATGAAAGGTAAAAATTGCAGGTAGGAGGCTGTTACCATAGTTCAGTCAGGAAAGGAGGCAGCCGTAGTGGAGGAGAGAGAGGAGCGGAAGCAATAGGATACGGGGCCTGGTTGGCTTTGCGGCATGAAAGGGAGAGGCAAGGCTTGAAGGTTCAGTTTACTACCACAATAATTCATTGATTCCAAGAAGCACAATTTTTACAACTCTAAAATTGAGATGCATCTTATAATCAAAGTTGTCCTGGGGGCCGGCCCCGGGGCTTAGCGGTTGAGTGTGCGCGCTCTGCTGCTGGCGGCCTGGGTTGGGATCCCGGGCGCGCACCAACGCACTGCTTGTCCGGCCATGCTGAGGCTGCGTCCCACATACAGCAACTAGAAGGATGTGCAACTGTGACACACAGCTATCTACTGGGGCTTTGGGGAGAAAAAGGGGAAAAAAAAAAAGAGGAGGATTGGCAATAGATGTTAGCTCAGGGCGGGTCTTCCTCAGCAAAAAGAGGAGGATTGGCGTGGATGTTAGCTCAGGGCTGATCTTCCTCACACACAGACAAAAAAAGTTGTCCTGTTTTCACTAGCAATGTGTTTTTTCTTTCCTTAGTTGTACATAAAAATAAAGATGCATATTTACATCTCTGACATCTTAGATTTAATGAAATTTGATACTGAATTCTTTGGCTATAGTTTGTAAATGTCTCCTATCATGTGTATATTTTTCATTGTAAAAATTCAAGGAAAATTATTTTGAAGTGAGTAGCAACCTTTCACAAAGTAATTTTCATACAATTGATCCCTGTGAAGTGGTTGGTGGGAATTTGTATTTTATTTAAGTGTGATACTTTAGGTTCAATATAATTATTTTTTTCAGCATCTGGGTACTTTGAAGGTTCCTGGAAAGCAGATGTCTGCACTATCTTGGGAAGGAGGTGGACTGAAAATTGCACTAGCTGTTGATTCTTTCATATATTTTGCAAATATTCGACCTGATTATAAGGTGAGTGTTATGAGCAGTTGTAAAAAAAAGGAAGCTGTTTTTGATGGAATAATTTTGTTATAGCTCACAGTATACTATGTATTTCTTGCATATATTCATAGCCTCTTTGTTTTAGAAACCAGCTGAAAGGAAGCTTTTTTTAGTGTGAAGACCTTAGGACTAGTAAACTTTTCTAGAATACTATATATAATTAGTAAAATACTCCAACAGTCAGGGTCTCAGCAGGAAACAGATGGCCCACTCAGAGGAATAATTGAAGAGGATTGATGAAGGGTTTATTACAGAGGTATACCAGCAAGGGATGACAAAGCAAGCATCCAGGGCCTAGCAACAGTGGGCAGGGTAAGGAAGTATTGTTCCTGGACCCCACGAGAGCTGTGGCTGTGCAGGAGGGGCTGCTCTGCAGGAGCACAGCCACTGCCAGCTGGCGGGGCAGAGAACGACTAGGGGAATAAACACTTCTGTCCATCTCTCTACCTGCTGGTGCCTTCTGTTGGCCAAACCCAACTGGAAACCAGAAAGCAAGGTAGCCCATGGAGTTCATAGAGGTCAGCCTCGAGGGCACAGAGCAGGTTAGAGAAGGGCAGAGAATGGATCAGAAGGGGAAAATGAGAATAAGCAGCATAATAACTCATCAATATTTTATCTTAGATTTAACGTTTGATCCAAAAGAAGCTCTGCAGTATGAGATTGATCTAGTAAACTACTAAGAATATTTGTTATGAAAAACTTCTATATCTAACTTTTAAAGGGCAAAGCACCTTGGAGAAATGGGTGATTCTAGGAGTAGGGCAGGGAAAATACAAGATAAGCCTGGAGCGTCTTGTAGTGCCCGAGAGTAAGGAAGTGCTCAGAAAACAAGAGGATGGGAGTGTGTCAAAGGGACAAGGGAGGCAGCTTTAAAGAGCTCCCGATGGCTAAAGCTGGAAGGATTTGAGCAACAAAATAAATGATGTTACACTGGATTGTAACCTACATTATAAAATAAATGTCCATGCGTACAAACTGATATAAATTACTTAAATAAATGAGGAGAGGAAACAAATCTTCCTTATAGAAGTATTCTGATTTACTGAGACATTACCCTCCCCAGGAGGTGGAGCGTAGTCCCCTGTTTATTCCCCTAACTAGAGTGTGGGCTGCATTTAGTGACTCACTTCCACAGAGTAGAGTATGGAAAGGGGAAAAAAAGAGAGTACCTTCACAGTGGAGACACCTGGCAGACACTGCCTTGTCCAGGTGATCAAGGTCGTCAGTGATGTCACATGGATGGCACATACCCCATGATGTGACATGAGGAGAAGAGCACTTCACTTCTGTGGTGGTCTTCCTAAAAACTGATAATCCCAATCTAAACATGAGAAAAGCAGCACACAAACCCAAATTGAGGGACATTCTACAAAATACCTGAGCAGTACTCTTCAAAACTGTCAAGGCCATCAAAAACAAGGCAAGACTGAGAAACTGTCACAGCCCAGAGGAGCCTAAGGAGACATGACGACTGAATGTAATGAATCCTAAATGGGGTCCTGGAATGGAAAAGGAACATTAGAGAAAAACTAATGAAATCCAAATAAAGTATGGCGTTTAGTTCATACTAGTGTATCAATATTGGTTTCTTAGTTGTGACAAATGTACTGTGGTAACGAAAGATATTAACAATGGGGGAAGATGGAAAGGAGTATAGGGAACTCTGTACTATCTTTGCAGCTTTTGTATAAATCTAAAATTATTTTAAAGTAAAAAGTTTATTTTAAAAGGTAATTATGGTATAAAAAGTAAACATGGCTTACTTTGAATAGTAAAAACAGTCATCATAATGTTGACACTGAATATTGGTTTATTCAAAATTACATGTAAATATGTTGGGAGAGGGAAAGCTCTAAGTGTTTAAGTTCCATAATCAATACACATGTGATATGGAGATAAACACCAAAGAGTACAGCTAAAAGAGTTGTAAATGGCTTCCCTGGGGAGGAAATTAGGCAGAGGAGTCTGCATTTGTTTTGAATAAGCCATGTAGAATTATTTGGCTATAAACTATGTGCATCTGTTACTCTGATAAAAACAAATATAAAAAACGTGGATAGGGGAGAAGAGGCAAAGCGTCTGTTTTTGAATTTTGGCTTGGGGACCCGGAATTAAACTTTTGACAGGGGTCACTCTTCCTTTGTCCCCCATGCAGTTATTACTGACTGTTGAAAAATCTGAAATTTTTACCACCGAAGCTTAAATCATACAAATTAAAATAAGGAAAGTTAAACAAACTAAACTTATTTTTGCAGTACATTCTTTGTTTTATAACTGTCTGTATTACTCTTAGATTTTTTGTTATTTTAGTGAGAAAAGGTATTAAGCTGAATATTCAGTCCTTCTGTCTTTCTTAAGAATATATTTTTTCAGCATTGATAAACCACATACCTGCAGTATTTCTGGAGTAAAAATAATGTGATTTTTCTTTCCCACTGTTAAATGTCCTTTCTCCCTTTCTCTCCCTTCTTCCCTCTTTCTGTTCCCTCCCTTTCTTCCTTCCTTTCTTCTTAGTGGGGTTATTGCTCAAATACTGTAGTTTATGCTTATACCAGACCTGATCGTCCTGAGTACTGTGTTGTCTTTTGGGATACGAAAAACAATGAGAAATATGTTAAATATGTGAAGAGTCTCATTTCTATTACTACCTGTGGAGATTTCTGCATTTTGGCTACGAAAGCTGATGAAAATCATCCTCAGGTAGGTATTCATGGATGTCTTAAAACTTAGATGGGTTAGCTACTTGGCAGAATTGGGCTATAGTTATCTATCTTCTCAAGCACAGCCCCTGTACTGGAAGGTACAGCAAAATATTGAGTCTATTGGCCATGTGTGTCGAGACCTCTGTTTTGGAGAACTATGTGACTCTGTTGGTTCTGTGTCCCCTGGATTTTTCCTCCAGTCAGCTAATTGATTGGCAGTTCATATTGACCAGTTCAGTACTGAAGCTTTTTGTCTCCTAAATATAGTTAAAATACTACATTCCTTTTCCAAGTTAAAATTCCAAGCAAAAATGAATATCCAGATGTCTAGTATAAATGCTCAAGAAATTATGTAACAATGACCATTATAACACTTTGGGTAGCTTTGACATTGAGAAATATACTTTTATTTGGAGTTATATTGCTTTAAAAATCAGTCTCATAGCATAAAATAAATAATATAAGTAATGCCTTTTTAAAAAGTATGCTAACAATTTAAATATTTGCAGAAGCATATAAACTTTTCAAAAAAGGACCACCATTGTCTTTGGCTGTGTTATAAATCATTTTATTTCATTAAAAAGTATAGAGCTTTTGGTTTAAGGCAGCCATTTGAACAGCCACATTGGGCTCTGTTCTCTCTGAAACTCACTAAAACAACAGTAAAGTTATTTTTTAAAAAGTCATAAGCCCATAGGGACCAGAAAGGGAGAGGAAATGGCAACATAGTTTTGGAAGTTAGAGAGTAGGTGAATTATTTCTTAGGTTCTTAGCAGACCTAAGAAAGCTGAATCCTAAATCATCGGTGGAGAAAGCAAAGAAGCAACCAGTTTACATCGCAGAATCCCAGAGAGACACAGGACTTGATGGTACCTGGTAGAGAAAGAAACAAACACAAAAGCAATTTGGAAGTACCAGAGATTATGCAGGGAGGAGAAAACTTAAACAAGGTTCCTAGATGCCCTTCCCTCTACTGAGCCCCTAGGCACCTGCCCTTCCACCACCTGGGGAGACTGGGGTTCACTCTCAAGGAGGGATAAAAAGAGTCTCTGCACTGAAGGGCACCGAGCATAGAGAAGGGTGGAGGAAATCTGCTGAAAACAAGGCAGTTCAATGAAAAGTTGACCACTCAGTGTCCCCCTGTTGTCTTTTCCACTTGGTTCTCAGGACGCTGGCAGCTAAGCAGATAGCTCTCAGGTAGGAGGTTGGAGGAGTCCTTTCTGGAGAATCTGACCAGTTCAAGAGAAAAGACCTCTAAAAGCACTCCTATTGGGAGTGCCCAAGGAAACATCCCTCCCATCCCCTTTGTGTGAAAACCAGAGTCAGGGAGGCCCACCCATAAACAAATAGATTCCAAATAGCTTTTTAGTGTCACACTCTATAAGCATGTAGACAAAGATTATCAGACATTTGAGGAAAACATCTAATTTAACAGACAGACAACAAAAGTAAACACAAGGAGGAAAGAGCTGGGAGGAAGCAGAGACTATGCAGAAGAACACTTCAAAAGAATCATCATTTCAAATTATCTTCAGAGTTAAGAGATATTACATCCATAAAACAAGGAAAGGATACTATAGAAAAGGAAGGTTTTGTAAATTACAAATGTGATAACAACAGTAAAAAATTTGGCAGAAGAGTTAGAATATAAAATGAAGGAAAACTATAAAATGGAGTAAAAAGACAAGGAAATGGAAAATAGGAGTGAAAAGATAAGAAAATTAGAGGACCAATCCTGGAGGTTCAGCATTTGAATAATAGTTCTAAAAAGAGTGAACAGGCAAAATGGAGGAGAATAATTCTGAAAAAAAAATTCAAGAAAATTTCCCTTGAGTTTCTAGATTGAAAGTGACTAGCTCAGTGAATAAAAATATTTCCACATCAAGGCACATCATTGTGAAATTTCAAAACACTGGGGATAAAAAGAAGATCCCACAAGCTTTCACAGAGGAAAAACAGACATCACAGGATCAGGTTTCCTAATGGCATTTGCCTTGTCAACAGCAGTACTTTGGAGAATTTCTTTCAAAATTCTGAAGGAAAATGATTTCCCATCTTGAATTCCATGTCTTAAGCAAACTACCAATTAAATTGAAGGTAGAATAAAGACATTTTTAGATGTACAAGGTCACCAAAAATTTACCTTCCAAGCTTCCTTATCTTAGAAAGTTACTTTAGGATATGGTCTACCAAAATGAGGGATAAACTGAGAAAGAGGCAGAAAGGATAACCCAACAGCGATGGTCAAGAGTGGTACCAGCTGATGGTTGTGCACGTGCCTAGGGAGTTATTAGATGAGAGCAGCTCATGTGGTTCAAAAAGAAATTCAAGATGAAATTAATAGAATACTTAATGTGGTTGAACATTTGAGGGGAGACATACATAACTGGGGGGTCCCTGGGGACTTGAGTTAGTAATAAATACAGAGAAAACTAAGCAAAGAGAAAAAATAAAGACAATTACCAACTATAGGGAAAGCAAAATGTGCTTGAAAGGAGAATAAATCATGATACACTTGACTCAGGCTGTGAATAGTATTTAAATAGTCAAAATGATGTACTCACTGGATTTTTTTTTTAAATTTTTTATTTATTTATTTTTTCCCCCAAAGCCCCATAGATAGTTGTATGTCATAGCTGCACATCCTTCTAGTTGCTGTATGTGGGACGCGGCCTCAGCATGGCCGGAGAAGCGGTGCGTTGGTGCGCGCCCGGGATCCGAACCTGGGCCGCCAGCAGCGGAGCACGCGCACTTAACCGCTAAGCCACCGGGCCGGCCCTGGATTTTTTTAATTAAAAAAACTTTTAAATTGAAGTATAATAAAATATAAAACCCTAAATTCTGATCTAACAAAATTATAAATGGAAAGATGGAGGGATGGAAGTGTGTTCCTGTGTGATGGGAGACTGGGAAAGGGCAGTGAAAGAGAGCCACGTACTTTGCCTTTGATGGTGGGAAGTCTATAGATAATGCCCCAAATGGAAGCAAAACAAGAAGTAGCATTATAAACATGTGGAGGTAAATATCAAAAGGATGAGTTAAAAGAGCTGAAAGTAAATACTGTATGCGGCAAGAAGTGGGAAGTTAGGAGGGACTTCTATTTTTAGTAAGAAGTCTTCTGGAACTGTTTGATTCTTTAAACTATGAGCATGTAAATGATAAGTGAATTTAAAAAATAAAATTTATTTGTGGTGTTTTGTGGCAGTAAGTAAGCTTATTATAAGTAGTAAAAGAGTAAATTATAGTATTTTAGTATAATTTTTGGCATTTAGCATATTTTTATGAAATTAGACAAGTTTTACTTGAGATGCTGAAAAAAGAAAGTCTGTATGTAAACAGTACATAGAGAACTGGCTTATTTGAAATCATTGTGCTAATCAGTAAAATGTCTAAGTAAAATAGTATTCTTAGTACAAGATATAGAAAAGGTGACTAGCAGTAAGAAAAACAAAATTATCACTTTAGAATAATGTGATATTAAATGTGCATTATTCTTGATTATTTTTCCTAATGTTAATCATTGATAATTATTTGTGTATGTGTTAACTAATGGGCATTTTAAGTCATTTTCACTAGGTTAGATAATGTTTTTCCTGAATTAACTGAATTTTTTTGAATTTCTCATGTCATTTATATATTGCTTCCAAGGAGGAGAACGAGATGGAAACATTTGGTGCAATGGTAACAAATTAAGTTGGCTCTTATATAGCTGGTTATAGGATAAAAATGAGTTTTGAGGTAATAGCTGATCAGGAATTTTAGAAGTATAAATAATGACAAGTAGCCAGTGTACTTATGTTTCTTAAGTGGCCTCTTAAAAACCACAGTGTTCTGTTATATTGAGAAATCAGCCTTGGTTTAATTTGAATTCATATTTCTTTATTTTTTAATTTTTTTGTGTGAGGAAGATTAGGCCTGAGCTAACATCTGCTGCTAATCCTCCTCTTTTTGCTGAGGAAGATTGGTCCTGGGCTAACATCTGTGCCCATCTTCCTCTCCTTTATATGTGGGACACTTGCCACAGCATGGCTTGATAAGTGGTGCGTATGTCTGCACCCGGGATCTGAAGCTGTGAACCCTGGGCTGCTGAAGTGGAGCTCGAGAACTTAACCACTATGCCACCAGGCCAGCCCCCGTATTTCTTTATTTTTAGTGCTGTAGATTATCTTTATATTTGTCTGCTATTCTTTGCACTTAACAGTTTTATCAATTATTTGCCAGTTAGTGATACTTGAAAAAAAGATAAGCATGATGTTGGGCATCATTTCCTTTGTTGTACATAGCAGGAGTTCTGATATTCTTTTTGTTTTATTTGTCCACAGTTTGTGCTAGTTCTTTGTAATTCTATTGGCACACCCTTGGATCCCAAATACATTGATATTGGTAAGGAAATGTTAATATTTATTCCCTCTTTAATCAAGTTTTATTTGTAAAACTAACTTAAAAACCTAGCAATGCTATTATTAATTAGAATGGTATTCTCTAAAACAAGAATGAGCAAGCATACTTCTTGATTTGCCAGGTCCAGTACCAGTTTATGCCTGTTGTCATGGTAAAATTATTAATAACGCTCAATTTTCTCAGAAGTATCCTGGTTAATACAATAATTATAAGGTTAGTCTGTCTAAAATCCATAATAACCTCACAACTGCTATACTGCCATCATTTGCTTTAAGTGGGAAATATAATTGTATAGGAATTGGTATGCAAAGTAATGATTAGTATGTAATAAACTGAGGATTATAGAAAGAATTTTGCCATTAAATCACTTTTATTATTAGTACACTGCTTGTACATACCTCTCTTCCATAAAAAACACTTTAGTTGCTTGTAAAAGTGAGTTTGCCCTTTCCAGATTTTTGTAATGAAATCAGTCTATTAATAGGGACAGCTTTCAAAAATTCTTGACTTTTTGTTTTCAGAAGATATTTGTTACTTTAGATTTACCATTCCCTCTACCCAGTGGCTATGGAAGAAACATTAAAAAAATTCCAAATCTTGTTCTAAGTATTTTGTTAAAACTCATTATCAAATATTTTGTTGCCATTTCACTATAACTTCCCAAAGTAATGATTTTTTTATAAAGTGTGTGAGTAGTTTATTGGATATGGTATTAGAAAAATTATTAGATTTCAAAAATTGAAAACCCATTGAATTATTTTCTGAATCTGAGAACTAGTCTTTTTTTTTTTTTTTTTTCCCCCAGATTTCACATTCAGCCTTAACAATCAAATGTTAGTGTCTGCCTTCTAAGTATTTGTAATTTGCTAAGCTCTTGGGGTGATACAAGCAAATGTGAGAAATACTGGCCTCAAAGATTTTATGCTCTAGGGTCTTGGTAACTCACTTCTGTTTATTGAAACTTTTCAACTTTGTGTCTAATGTCCGTTGTTACATAGGTATGTTTATGTGTTTCTCTATTTACCTACATACGTAAATGTTAGTGTTCCGTGTTAAAAGGCTTAGCTTAAAATTATTACAGACTCTTGTCACATGAATATCTTCTACTTATTGGAAACATAGCAGTCTCTAAGGGATGAATTCTGTCAATCTTCAGATTATATGCTTTTTCTTTCAGTATCAAAAGTTTTAACATAGACTCATAATGATGATAGGGTTAGCCTCAAAGTAATATTGGTCACAGGTAGTCTTTGCTTAATAAAGCCAGATATAAATCCTTCACCTTCATAAAATGGCAAATGCTTGAGGGCATGATTATTTGTATTTTTGAGTCTTGAAACTTTTTTTTTTGCAGTCTTGCTGGCTGAAATTTTAACAAACAGTTCTTTCATTGGTTTGCAGTAAACTCAGCCAAAGACTCAACATTTTTGTTTCATACATATCCTGTAAAATTCCTTTTTTAACTTTCTATGTCGAATTTTCATGAGGACTGGAGGCTAAAGCAAACAAAGCATGTAACTGATATTGTCCTAGAAAGTGTAATTTTTGTTTTGTCATCTACTGTTCTTCCTGACACTCTCAGAAATTTTAAAAAGGACTTTCTGCATTATTAGAGAAGTTTAGTTGTGGGGCTCTGTTGTACGGTACATTGGTAGGAGTTACGTACCCCTTTTTGTGCTCTTCCTCTGAGCCCTCGGAATACCTTTGGTGTGCTTCTGTCCAAAGCACTTATCTGCACCATGGTTATTCATTTTCTTGTCTGTCATCCCCACAAGATTTTGAGCTTTTTAAAGATCTATGTCTTATTCACTTTTGTATCCCCACTGCCTAACACTGTACTTGCCCTGTAATGAATGTTTATTGAATGTATGAAAATATTTAAAATATAATCCATTACTTTAGAAACCATCAGTGAGTATATACTGTTTCAGGTACTGTACTGGGAGTGATAAGAAATTATGACATTTCCTGTAGAATGTCTAAGCAAATAATTAAAATATAGTTAATCTGTGGAACAATGACTTGCTCCCCGGCTGTGTGCTCCGGTTGTGCTGGGTGCTGGATAAGTGGATATCAGTGCGTGAGGATGTCAGGGACATCGTTTCTACTTAGAGAAGGTTTCATTTGCACTGAGTTTTGAAGGGTAAGTATGTCTTCGGGTGACGTTTTATTTATTTATTTATTAATTTTTGTGAGGAAGATCAGCCCTGAACTAACATCTGCCAATCCTCCTCTTTTTTCTGAGGAAGACTGGCCCTGGGCTAACATCCATGCCCGTCTTCCTCCACTTTTTATATGGGACGCCGCCACAGCATGGCTTGACAAGTGGTGCATCGGTGTGTGCCTGGGATCTGCACTGGTGAACCCGGGCTGATGCAGCAGAGCTCGCGCACTTAACTGCTTGCACCACCCGGCCGGTACCCTCGGGTGACGTTTTAAGGAGAGCTAACAGCATCTGCAGAGGAATGAAGGCAAGAAAAGCACCTGAAAAGTACCGGGTGCCTGTGTGCAGCCCTTCTGGCGGGAGCGTATAGGAGCTTTCTAATGATGGTCTGTAACACATGCCCTGAGTCTTCCGCATATTCCAGAGAGAGGTAATTTGATGAAGACATTTCAGTGCAGTTTTAGTTTACCAGGTCTTTAAAGGGCTGAGAAATGAATAAGTAGGAAAGTGGGGGAACATTACAGATGTAGACATTTATTTCAGGCTCAACATTAAAATATTACAAGCAGGCTTTACTTGTATATGAATTCCTAGATTGTTTTAAATTATTTTACATCCTTGCTTGGCTAGTAACTACTACGTATTAAGCATTACAAAGTTCAATTAATGAAAGCATGTTACTTTCTTTAAAAATATTTTTCCAATAATCTTCCTAGATATTTTGAATTTTTTCTTTCCAGATATTGATTGAATAGTTGAGGACATGGAGTGCTTTTATCTTGGTTTTTTTTGTTTTCCTAAAATAGTCTATCTATTAAAATTTGGTCTTCTAATTTTTTCCTAGAGGCTTAGTTCTAAGAAACTAAGAACTAATCCACTTGGATGGGATAAGTCTTTTAATAAAGATCTAGCATAATTTATGTAGATAGGATTATCTACCCATGTGAATATGCTGAAATTACTACCATATTGATTCAAAAGAACATATGTTTTAGATATATTTGTATTTGCTTTTTGTATTGACTAGTGGATTTGTATATGGTTTTATTATAAAAACCTGTGTAGGTTATAAAAGTAAGAGCAGTAATAGCAACCACACCTAACACTTATTAACCCTTAATGAGAGGCAATATGCCATAGTGGTTAAGAGCACACATTCTGGAGCCAGATTAACTGGGTTTGTGTCCCAGCTTCTAGCACTTTCTAGCTGTTCAACTTCAGCAAGTTATTTAACCATTCCATCCTTCAGTTTCTTTATCTGCTAAATGGGGATAATAATAATGCCTACCTTACAGGGTGGTCATGGGTTAATATATGTAACATTAATTATGTATTATAATTATAATGATATAATTAATATAATTATATTAAAATATATGCCTGACATTTAAAAAAATTAAGTAAATATTGGCTTTTAAAATTATTATTATTTTTAAGCATTGATTCTGTGCCAGGCACTCTCTTTTAATCCTTAAAGCAGCTCTATATGATTGGTATTATTATCATCTTCCATTTGCAATAAGTAAACTGAGGTTCCAAGAGAGTGAGTTTATCTAAGGCCACAGAGTTAGCAAGTGCCTGTGATTTGAATCCAAGGAGTCTGTCTCTTACCATGAACCACTAACATTTTAATTTTGAATGAATCAGGCTAATGATAAACTCTTGTGATTATTTAAGATGTATCAAAAAGAAAGGAACATGAGTATAGTTTATAATTGTAGGTAAACAATGTGTAGAAAAATGCTTTTATATAAAAGGAAAAATTATATTTTATTAGAAAGCAGTTAAGGTTTATGAACTTAACTGTAGTTCACACTAAGGGCGTGATGGTTACTGGCATTGGAGTATCCATGGTAGAATTAACTAAATATTTAGCAAATGTCTTATGATTTAATAAAGACAGAGTCAGGGAAAGCTGAGCGAAGCCTGGGCCTGGCACGCTAATTCATCCCACTCAGCGCTCTCCTGAGGGCTTTGCTGTTCTCCAGGATTGGCTTTCAGCAAATTGTTCCCACAGGAAAGGCTTCTAGCTCCCTCTAGAGTTCGCTAATAGTACACATTTTGAATAGAAAAAATCCTGACAATTGTAATGAAAAAAAGTTTTTTAATATAAGTCAACTACTCAACTATTTAGAATATAAAAATTCTTGAATTTGAATCCTCAAGTACTCAATTAACATCATACCATCAGTCTAGTTTCTAGACTAATTCTTTGTTCAATTTCTAAGTTTCTTACTGCCTTAAATGTCCTTTATTTAAGGACTACGGACTATGGACTATGGCAAGAACTCCATAAATGTTAGCTGCTATTAACACCATTCCTTTATTCTGGCCATATTAATGATTCCTTTGCACAATATTTATAAATAGAAAAATAAGTTTTGCACCATTTTAATCATTCATGAATTTAGAAAACAGGCACTAAAATGATCTTTTATGAAGGAGTTCTTTTGTTTTGTCAATGCAAAATGACCAATAACCATTCTATAGGTAAGAGAAATAAGGTGAATTTGCTGCCAGAGTGAGGAATATAACCCGGGAAGGCCTTAGGAAGTATTCTGGAGAAGCATGGTTTTCAGTACAGTCTTATATCTTTTTGGAACAAAGAGCATACGTTAGACACACCCAGGATACATTTTTATCAAAATTTCGAAGAGGTATTCAGTTGCAAATGAGCAGGTCAACGTGCCCGGTGATGTCAGGAAAGGGACTGATCCGGGCGTCACCAATAGGGCGTTACCAGTAGGGCGTTACCCATAGGGCATAGGAGGGGAAGTACACATTCTCATCTTAACAGAGTGCATTCTTTAATGGTTAAGCAGATGTACAATGTATGTTTGATAGGCCATAAGTCAGGCTTTTTAGTTCAAGCCGAATCAGTTTTGAACCCGAATAGTTACCCCATCTACCTCAATATGTGAAAATCTCTTATCAGCTTTTATATGCTTTGTGTGAATGTGTTTGTTTAATTTTATGTTGTGTATTTTGTGTTTTGTAACCTTGGCAAGTTATTTTACTTCTTTAATTCTCCATTTCTTTGTCTATGAGATGGATTTGATGAGACTATTTACTTCATAAAAGAGTACACAGTAGGAGCTTAATTAAATGTTCTCTAAAAACCGAAACAGATGAAAATGTTATATGTTTAGGAAAATATATTCCTAAATTAGGGAGGGACTTTGGAGAATTTTCTTTTCTAAATTAATGAGGAATTACAATCCATATGATACCAGAGGAAAGGATAAAGGCCTGAACCAAGCAGTAATGGGAGTGGGGATGGGAGGAAGGAGTGGGGTTTTGTTTATCCATTCATCAGTTAATGGACATTTGGGCTGTTTCTACTTTTTTGGCCATTATGAATAATGCTGTTATGAACATTTGTTTTGAGTTTTTGAATGAACATGTTTTATTTTCTCTTGAGTATATACTTAGAAGTGGAATTGCTGGGGCATATGGTAACTCTATCTTTAACATTTTGAGTAACCAGCAAGCTGTTTTTCAGAGTAGATGCACCACTTTATATTCCTACCATTTCTCCACAACCTTTCCAATACTCGCTCCGTTATTGTCTGACTTGATTCTGGCCATCCTAGTGGGTGTGAAGTGGTTTCTCCCTGTGGTTTTGATTTGCATTTCCCTGATGGCTAATGATGTTGAGCATCTTGTCATTTGCTTATTGGCCATTTGTATATCTTCACTGGAGAAATGTCTATTCAGACCCCTTGCCCATTTTTTAATTGGGCTACTTGTCTTTTTATTATTGAGTTATAAGAGTTCTTTACATATTCTAGATACAATTCCTTATCACATACATGATTTACAAATATTTTCTCCCATTTGTGGGTTGTCTTTTCATTTTTTTGATGGTGTCCTTTGAAGCACAAATGTTTTTCATTATGATGAAGTCCAGTTTATCTACTTTTTCTTTTGTTGCTTGTGCTTTTGGTGTCATATCTAAGAAATTACTGCCTAACCCCAGGTCACAAAGATTTATTCCTAAGTTTTCTTTTAAGAGTTCTATACTTTTAGCTCTTACATTTAGGTTTTTGATCCATTTTGATTTAATATTTTTGTGTGGTCCTATAAGCTTTGGATTTTTTTCTGATTTCAGAGACTCTGGGGTGTATTTTCTGTAAAATGAGTGGTTGGACTCAGTGATCATTGAAGTCTTTTGCAGCACAAATATTCTGTGGTTCTGTGTAACTGTAACCTAATTGTCTTAATATTCTTTTTTAATAGTACCATTGTTTGTTACAATGACGAAAACCCACGTGATAGCAGCTTCAAAAGAAGCATTTTATACCTGGCAATATCGTGTGGCAAAGAAGCTCACAGCGTTGGAAATTAATCAGATCACAAGGTCTCGAAAAGAAGGGAGAGAAAGGTATATCTTTTGATGCATATTTTTTAGTAGCTTAACCATATCACACTTAAATCAGACATAGTTAATTATAAATTGCAATGCTTGGGAACTACAAATTGTTTTCATTACTAGAAATATTTTCCCATTAATTTGAAAATCTTCCAAATTTATCTGTTTAAATTTATCAAAATACAAGAGAGGTAGCATGGTATAATAAAATAAAGCCCTTAGAGATAAAGACTGGAAATCTATGTTTTTATAAAGAAATAGCTATTCTCACTCATCCACTGTATTAGGGTTATTATGCTGTACTGAAATATGATTATTGAACTGAATTCTGAATGTCTAACCAAAGCTTCGTTCCTATGGGTTAGTGGTACAGGAGGGTGGGGTGATTCTAGTATCCATCACCATAGGAGAGGTAAGGTCATTGGACACAGATATGGAGGAGGTCTTTAGGTGGGGTGAACTGGCCACTTGGCTTCTTTCTCTTGACCTGGATTCTGGGGAGTCTGGGGTTGGAACTGTTTCTGGTAAGTGAGGGTAAAGAGGGCTATACCACATAGAGAGCTTAGTTGCCAGGATAGAGGGATTCCCTACAGTAAGTCTCAAGGTGCAGGTACACTTACTGTGTTTGTAAGTTATATTGTCTCGGTTAGTGATACTCTATGTTTGTTGCCCTTTTGTTGTTACCCTAAGCTTTTAAGTAAAGCATTTTGCTCAATGTTTTAACCTAATGATCTTAATGAGAACGTAGGCCTGTGTTGGTCAGGGTGGGCAGTGGGAGTCCTGTCCGAAATCCCAGGTTCCTTTTTCAAATCATGTTCCCTTACACATACTTGAGATCTTAATGCAATCTTCTCTTCCCTTTCAGACTCACTTATGCACTAAGAGAGGAGATATGTCCCCAGTAAAAGTATTTTGAATATATAAATTCATGTGGAAGCAGAAGGAAAAAAACAGTTGAAAAGTACTATATCTTGTCAGTAGTTCTGAAAGACGGAACAGAAAGAATCTTTGGCCTCTCTGAGGATAGCATGTGGCAGTGGTAGCAATAATAAGCAAGAGACCTGCAGTCTGCAGAGAGAAGGTGGATCTTAGGACAAAGTTGGGGCAGAAAAGTCTAGCCTCTCCATAGAGTGAGTGTTCTCCATGAGCCAGATAAAGACATTCTGGCTTTTGTTTAAATAAAGAAGACAGCATTTCCTTATATTTCTCCCTGGGCTATAATTACTAGTTTAAATGACTTTAGGCAGGTTCTCTCTGGGCCTCAGTTTCTCATCTGTAAAATATGGTTGATGATGGTGATCACAGCCAGCATTGATTGAGTGCTTATGTGCCAGATACTACAGTAGGTCTAGTCAACTTTCTTATTAGTCCTGTTTCACAGAGAGGAAACTGAGACACACGACCTTAAATTATTTGTCAAAGGTCACCAGCTGATAAGTAGAGATGGAACAGAAGGCCAGGTTTATCTGGCTGTGAACCACTTTGCTCAGATTGGCCTTTCTCGTAGTACACTGCTTGTTTTAAGAGGAGGAGGTGGGTCAGATGATCTCTTGAGAGGCCTCCTATTCTTACCCTTTACTTTTATTTTGTGATAACTAAGTGAAAATAGTAACTGGATACACTTAATAGAAATGTATTAAAATACAGAAATGTGGTTCCTCTAAATTGGTACACCTTTCTGCATTTAATACATTTCTATTGAATTTATTTAACATTTGATCTCATTACATTGATGAAAGTACAATCATGATTTGCATTTAACAATGATAAAATTTCGTGGCATTTTAAATATAGAAAATGGCATGATTTTCCTGTGATTATATTACAGCTACAATTTCTTGAACCCCTTTTATGTGTCAGGCTCTGTGCCTATGTGCTTTACAAACATTTTGTTTATACCTCTCAAAAAGCCTGCAAAGGCGGAATTGTTACTCTTATTTTACAGATGGAGAAATTCAGGCTCAGAGAAATTAAGTAAGTAGCCCAGGGCCTCATCGCTACTCTATGGTGAATCTCCCACATCCACCTCCATTCATTTTAATATTTTTTTTCTGCAGACATTATAGAGCACCTGACAGTGTGTGGCACTGTGCGAGGCACTGGAGATATAGTCTTTGCCTCCAGGAAACTCACCATCTAGTAGGAGAAATAAGTACTCTAACAGTGATACTGTGGTGTGAATAAGTATTATAATAAAGGTATCAGAGATGGCGAAAGTCCAAAAGTGGTGCATCTTCATAACACAGTAAGCTTAGGAAAGGATTCTTTACTTTAGAACAAAAATTCCGTTAATTAGAGCTTCCCAAATACATTTAAGTTTTACCTTTAAGTTTACATTGATAGAAGGGAAATTATGGAGAAACAACAAAGAAACTTACTGTATTAGAAGTTACTGCTAACTGATGTTCATTTGGAGAGTAAGGTAAAATATCTCTTGGGGCTTAATGAAATTCATTGGAAATATGTGATTCAATGTTTGAATATATTTTTGGCACAGCTTTCAGGAGCAAATCACTTGTATAACTAGTAAACACCTAGTAGATAGTTTCTACCTTTATAAGACTGAGCTGTGTCAAGAACTCTTTAAAATAATCCAGACATTTATATTAAGTAACAGTATTCATTGGTGTCATCCAATCCTTTAATTGTTCTAGAGATTATGAAATAGTACTTATCTTTTATTTCAGAATTTATCATGTTGATGATACCCCTTCTGGATCAGTGGATGGCGTGCTTGATTATAGTAAAGCCATTCAAGTAGGTGATTTTATTTTTGCCAGCGTATGTTAATATCTGTAGATTTGGTAATATTGTAATTTTATTTTGTGACCTGGAAAAGAATTTGTTTCCAGTGAATAGCATATTATTCTACTAATTCTTTAAAAAATTTTCTATTCTGAAAAACTTCTTCTAGATCTGCTGTTTTCTCTCTTCTTTTGATTTTTAAAAACGTTTTATTTTGAAATAATTATAGGCTCAAGGGAAGTTGCAAAAATAGCACATAGAACCCCTTTACCCAGCTTCCCTCAATGGTGACATCTTATATAACTGTAGTATAATATCAAGATCAGGAAATTGACATTAGTATGACACTGTTAACTAGACTTCGGCCTTGTTCACTTTTCACTAGCTTTTACATGTACACATGCGTGAATGTGTGCGTGTGTGTAGTTTTATGTAATTTTATCACCGTAAAGGAACTTGCCTCTTGCTACTTCGTTTTCATACCCACTTTCCACCCCCATCCCTGTCCCCTGGCAACCACTAATCTGTTTCCATCTCTGTAGTTTTATCACTTTGAGAATGTTTTATGAATAGAGTCATAAGGCATGTAAGCTTTTGCGGTTGGCTCTTTTTCGCTAAGCATAATGCTGTTGAGATCCATCCAGGTTGTTGCAGTGCCGTCTCCCCTTCTTCATTTTGGCTGCCATCTGTCCATCTCCCGCCGTCTGTTCATCTTTTGTGACTAAGCTTGGGTTTTTGCCTCCTTGTCCATTTTGGTGTAAGTTAGATGCTCCTTCCTCTGTGCTCTCGTAACTTCTGTGTGTACCTCTGCTGTTATCCTACTGTATTGTAATCAGGTGTTCGGTTCCCCATCTTCCCCAGTAAACTTCTGAGTAATCCCTGAGGGGAAAGATTTCATCGGAGTATCTCTGGTGCTTAGTTCAGAGTCTGGCATATGGTAGGTGCTCAGGAAGTAAATGTTTGTTAATAAATATATTGTTGAAGTATTTTTCTTAGTGAATTGCATCCTACCTTATACTAGATTAGTCATTCAATAACTATTTGGTAAAGAATAACAATTAATTTATTTTAGGGCACAAGGGATCCAATTTGTGCCGTAACTGCATCTGATAAGACATTGATTGTGGTAAGTTGTAAAGAAAAAAGTTATTTATGAATAATAATTGTTTAAATTATAAAAATAGAGTAAAGCAATATGTTTTGGATTTTAATATCATCTGTGGGCACCTCAGGTTTTACTAAGTCCAACATAAGAAATAGAAAGTTTTAAAGATTGCCTCACAAATTGTTAATCATTTGCAAAAACAGCTGTTTATAAAAAACAGTAGATTGGGGGCCAGCTGAGGAGTTTGACACTGGATTGAATGAGTCCTCTAAAAGGTTGGCAGATGTGGAGCAGATCAGAGGGTGGGAGTAGATCTTAGAAAGTTTCCTCCTCCATGAGGCCTGCTATTTCGTGTTGGAGAAAGTGCTTTGGCTCAGCTACTTTCATAAGACTTAGAATGAAGAGGTGGTATGCTTGCTAGCCAATAAAGAAGTCCTTAGCAAATTTTTGCTGAATTTTTCAAATGAAATCAATGTTACAGTGTCTTTTCTTGAGCTCTGACATTTGAAAATATTAATTTTAGGGAAAAATATTTACTTTAATATAGTAATGCTAGTGGAGTTGTTGAATTTGAATTATGTAAACAGAGCCTTAATAGCATATATTTCCGGTGCTATTTACATTCTTTAGCCATTAGCTAATTTTGTGGGGGAAAAAATCTTAAGAACATAGTATTCATTTTTCCTTACTAAATGCATTTGGTATATGTTTTAAGCAGTTTACCTTAGTCAGGCCTGTGGAGTCTTTTGTTTTCTTTTTAGAGTCTTTGCTATATGGCAGGGTTTTTTGTTCTGTTAGTTGTGTTTCTGTCATTTGCAGGAAAAAATAATGTGCAACTCAGATAATTACAAAAATTGACATAATTCCTAAATGACAGAGTCTACCTCTGAGAAACGTACTCAGATGGTTTTAATACCAGCCAAAATTTTAACGGAGAAGACATCTTCTGCCTTTAAAGTTGCTTTCCACTGTTGAAATGTAAACAGTTTTTTAGAACTATTACTTGTCAAACTTTTTAAGCCACAGGACCCCGTTTTTAAAAACAAAATTTTATTTCCTACCCCAATACTAAATCTTTTAAAGCCTGCACCTCCCTTTTATACATTAAAAAATGTCTTCCCCCTCACCCCCTCGCATGGCCCCCAGCCTTTCTGATAAGCTCCTCTTGAGAATCATGCTGCCAAAGCAGTGCTGCTCTGATTACAAAGGGGAGAGGGAAAGATTGGCTGAGTGGGGCCTTCCACTTTGTCCCATGGCTGTGGCCCAAGGCCCAGAAGTGTTTGAAAACCACAGCTCTCTCCTGTCTGTTGTACTAACTGCTGATCTGTCAGCCTTAAATCTTGCACAGAGTTGCACAGAAACTTATATTCTGTTTTATTTTTAAACACATTAAAACTAATATTTATTGTATCACTGCTTTCTGATTATCTCCTTTTGCCACAAACTTGTATCAGATAGACGGCTATAGGATAAAAACGTAGACTTTCAGTAATAACTGTTTCATATGGTGATCTTATATTGATTTTTCATATATATGAAATTTAATTCGAGAAGTGCTTTATGTTTTATCTTTTAATGTACCCTGAATATTAACCTAGACAACAACTGTAAATAACCCTAGATATTTCTTCCTTGTGATGTAAGAATTTGTGTATTATTAAAGAGCTAGGTTTCTGACTTCTTTCTTGAATGTTACATGAAAAAAATTAGATCACCTACAGCTGCTTTAGAAAGGTTTTAGTTAAATTAGGAGATAAATATGTACTCCATAACATGATTCAGTATCAGAGTTGGGAATTCACCATGACACCATCACTTTGGTTTTGAAACAAACGTATGGTTATCTAGAGAGACCTGTAGTTATAATTTAGTATTATTATGGTAAATATGCTTTAGTAATCAAAAATAATTTTCATAGGGTCGTGAATCTGGCACCATTCAGAGATATAGTCTTCCTAATGTTGGTTTGATTCAAAAATATTCCCTTAATTGTCGAGCCTACCAGTTATCCTTGAATTGCAACTCTAGGTAAGTCTGAAAACTCTACTTACGTAGATGTTAGATTTCGAAGTTATCAATTGGGATTATTGGATTTGTGTAATAAATGCAAAGACGTGATGGTTTTAAATTTGTCTTACAGTTCAGTGTGGTTTTACTATACTGTATTTGTATTTACTATACTGTATTTGGTTTAAATGTCTTTAATTGGGCCAAATACTGCAATTCCAGTGTAACATTTTAAGTTGTTTGCATACCAGTTGCTTTAATCCCTTTGGATACTTTTTCCTCATGAGGAAGCAAAATGAAGAATAGTCCATGTTGTCCATCAAGTTTATAAAAAAGTTTTTAGGGGGCTGTCCCGGTTTTTAAAGCCATTTATTTATTTAAAGCCATTTCTGCCTTATTCCCAGGTTCTGATGAACTGATTTTGAAGCAGCATGGTTATGGGTACTTGTATCCGTGATCACTGATAGTCATTTTACGGTTTTTCCCCCTCTCCAATTTCATTATTTGCAGTCGTCTTGCTGTCATAGACATCTCAGGAGTTCTCACGTTCTTTGACTTGGACGCCCGGGTAATGGACAGCACAGGACAGCAAGTCATTGGCGAGTTGTTAAAATTGGAGCGAAAAGATGTCTGGGATATGAAGTGGGCAAAAGATAATCCTGATTTGTTTGCAATGATGGAGAAGACAAGAATGTATGTTTTCAGAAACTTGGATCCTGAGGTAAAAACAAGATCATTAACAGTACATAAATAATGAGCCAAATATCAAAACCTGGATTTTCACCTTTGTTTCTTCAAGAGGTTTGTTGGTGTTGGCTGCATGAATTTCTGAAAATAAATAGAAACATTTCTGTGGAATTTAAAAATATCTAGTTTTAAGTGGGAAAAATACTCGTCCTTTAAATGTTTTCTGTTTTCTCTGAAAGGCACTTCCTAAGCATTTATCTGTTCTTTTTAAAAAATGGAACCAGGGTCACTAACTATATGGTCTTTATTTTTTTTCCTTGTCAAAGTTAAAAAGAAAAGAAAATCAGTAGTCTTATTTACCAAAATTGCTTAGAACAACCTAACCAAAAATTGTGGTTTTGAATTTTCTTCGTCCTTTCATTCTCTTCTGCCACCCAATCTAGCCACCCGCTTCTGTGCTTACCTTGTCTTATATTTACATGCACTTGTCAACCTGAAAAACAGAAACCAATGTAAGAGGCAAAGTGTTTATGTGGGATCAGAGAATTGCAATTCGAGGAGCAGAGACTCAGGTAGAAACCCAAATAGTGTGGTGATTACAGGAGAGGCGCTCACTCTGATATTCTTATGAATGTGCAATCTGGACTGCAATTAATCTTTTCTCTCTGGAGTATCAGGAAGCCCCTTTCTCACTAATTTTAAAGTTATATTTTGATTTTCTGTTTGTGGCTCACATCAGCTCATTTTTAGACCGTGAATTTTCCTGTCACTTAGGCTGCTCTGGATCAACTGTTAGCTGTTGTGTTAGGAAATTCAGAATAATTTGAGTGGTAGCCTAATCTAAACATCATTAAGAAGAAAAATCTTTTAAACTATTTTTGAATTATTAATGGATTTTGAATTTGGAATTTTCTGAACTCCTGCTATATTCCAACTAGTGTAAATAATAAGAGATGAGTTGATAAATGCTTTATGTCATTGATTAATTTTTGTTTGGACCTATAGTTTCCTTCTTGGGAAGAAATTGCATGCTTGGGCCCTTGAGCTGCCAAAGATCTTATGTAGTAATGTATTTACTGGTAAACTATTTGCCCCTTTAATATCCTAAATTATTTTCACATTTCCCTATTTGAGCCCTACTCAGGATCTTTGGGTTGGTAAATCACCTGATGTAAATTGCTCTCAAAGGCTTGTTAAAGCTTTTAGGAGTCTTAAGGATCTTTGTAATTCTTAGACCCTGAGTAATGTTCAAAGGAAAGGCATTCATTCAGGGCTGCTGCATATGACCTGTAAACATGGGCTTCTTTCAAGGGTCGGGGGGAAGTTTGACCCTTACTACAAAAGGAGAATAGAAATTTGACAGGTAACCACAGAATAACCTTGAGGATGGCAGTAGAATACTTTTGGAATGTTAGGGTCCTTTGTCCATCCTTGGTCCCACGTGCACAAAGTTAGAAATGATGTGCTTGGAGAAGCGAGGGTGCTTGTTATGCCTGGCTGCTCAGGTGTGTGTAGCACACATGGTCCATCTAGTACCAAGAGAAATCTTTGCCTGGTGGAAAGTGTTTCTTAAGTAGTTTTAACAGAACAGCCGTCTTCTGTTTTTGTGAATTTGAGTTTGTTTTCTGGCTTAGCAAGTACTTCAATTTCTATTAGTTTTAGAGCTAGATGAATTTCTTGCAACCTTACCACTGACTGGATTTCTTTATAAACCATAGTGTGCTGTTTTTTTCATTCATGAGGACACTGCTGGCTGTGGTCCTTGCTTGGTTAGTTACTCTGCTGTCCATTCCTCTAACTGCTTATCGACTGATCGTGTAAGGACATCCTCTTCAAAACAGAACCTCTTGGAGCTCCTTCAGGATGTAGTATTCTATATTTTTATTCAGGAGATAAGCTGTTGTTTGACAGTAAATAATAAATGTATTTTTATCCACTTGAGTGTTATTATGAATTCTAAATTCATACCTTTCTTTAAGTTGTAAACCTTTCTTCAGATCATATGCGGGAAAAGAGTGCCATTTGTGTGCAAAGTTCTAATTCACTGATAAAGCACATTTTCCTTGAGAATTTGGAAATGAGTATTTAATGTTGATATTCCTTGCTTGATCCTTTTCATCTCCAGTGACCCTCTCAAGGTACCGATTCAGGTCTTTTATTCTTTTTCTTGGATCTTCCCTCTCATTGGTTACTACTATTTTATATTTCTTTCATAGCTCATATTTTCATCAATCAGTTTCTCATTTTTGTACATTTGCGTCTTTTCCAAACAAGGGGTTTCCAAACTTTTGAATATGTAGCTTCATACATGCATACTTATTTATACTTATTTAGAAATTATATATGTGACCTACCGTATTAATTACATTATGATTTATGTCCCTAAAATAGAAATTTTAAAAGAATGAGAAAAAGATGAATTTTAACAGGAAGAAACGTTTTTTTTAAAATGTCATACTCATTGTTATGGTTTGTGCTGCCATTATCTGGTGTCTCAAGCAGAGTGCGCACATTAGAGAGAGGAATTATTACCTTAGTGAATACAAGTCTCATGTTTCAAATAGTCTACTTGATACTTTTTATTTTTCAGCTGACTTTTTGTCAGACCTGGTTAGAATGGCACTGTTTTTACTTTGTAATGTGGCTGACCTGAGAAATTGTGCTAGGAGTAAGAGAGGTGACAGTTCTGCCTTTTCTTGTTTGCTTGGGCTTGTGTTACCAATAGTACATTTCATTCACACATTCTTTGCAGGAAGATTTTTAAACCACTCATCCAATTTATGAAGGTTAGCTAAAATTAGACAGGATAATCTCTAAACCCACTTAAGTGAGAACATACAAACTTCAGTATGTCACACTATGCTAAAATTGAATGGATAAGTTAGGGGCACTTCAGGATACTTGATATATTGTATAGGTTATGAGACCTTCTGACTTGTGTACTAAGAGTACCAGTGTTTCTTGGGATAGTAAAGATTAGTCAAGTTTTCAATACTTTTTCAATAAAGATAAATATCTTGTATTCTGCTTAGATCAGTGTACCCTACTTTGTAGACCACTAGTCTAAAACTTCATATTCAATTGAAATGTGGATAGATAGCTAGGAATTTTGGAAAATAAAGAAAATTAGTTGGGATAATTCAAGCAGAAGTTGAATTTTTGAAATCTGAATTACATAAATATTTGTATATTTATGTATATGCCAATAATCATAGATTATTTTGGGAACTCTTAGTTTTGATCTCTCTCCCCACCCTTCTTTTTCTCCTTTTCTCTTTGTTTTTGGTATTATTTTTTATCCACAGATCATCTTTTCTGACTTTTATTTTTTGACTATCTTGCTTTGTTGCATTATCTAGCCAAAAATAAAAATTTTTTTCTAATGATAAACACTTTTATACAGGTATACGTGGTTTACATGTAGTATCAAAATAATCAAAGTATATGAAAGGTCCTATAATTTATAAGGAATATTTTATTATATACCCTTTCTTTTTGAATTAAATTTTGTTCTGATTCTTTCTGTGTATTCATTGTTCGTAAAAGCATATTGTATTTATGTAATACAACCTTTTTTTGAGGAAAAAGGGGATTTTATAAAATTTTCTCATATAATCTGACTATTTTAATTAACAATTTCTACTTTTTAAAAGAAAGTATACATTTTAAAACCCAATAAATACATATAATGTGCATACAGGAGCCTCATTCTTAAACTTAGACATACTAAACTCTAAATATGATTCAGTTTTTACCTATTCTTTTCATCTTGTTGGTATCTTCCAATCTGATATGTTATTTCATTTGGATTTTGGTAACTTTCTGTTTCATTATGATATACATATACACGCATATTTTTAAAAATCGCATTCTAGTATTACTTCCATTACCACAACATTATCCTGTTCTTTTTACAGTGTTCTTAGAGGTAGTAAGTTTACTGGGAGTTTCTTTCTCCTTGTTTATATAATATTTATACCTGTTTTTTCTACTAAGGATTTAGGGTAGCTACTTTACATTATAATATGCATCTACTATATACTTTATTTCCACAAGCCTGTATAACACTAGGATAAGAGACAGACATATAACAGACTCGTATATTTACATACTGGCAAGTTAAATCTTCTTATGTAGGAAATCTGTCAGGAACGCTCTTTGGCTAATGTTACAGAGGATGGAGTTTTCAGTATGGTACGGGACTTCTTTGACATATGTACTTAGATACAAATACAGTGTTTGTCAATTTTATTAAGAATTAAATTTAATGTTGAATTGGATGAATAAGAATTATCAAGCTATATAAGGGATTTTTGGATTAATTGGGAAAATTTGGACTAATATTAGATGCTATTAGGGAATTAATATTGGTTATGTAAAGTGTGATAATAGTAATGTGGCCATGAAAGAGAACTTCCTTATCTTTTAGAGATATGTACTGAAATATTTAGGGGTGAAATATCATGATATCCACAAATTTACTTTATTTACTTTAAAATACTGCAGCCAAAAAATTGACTGAAGCCCATAATATCTAAATATTAATTATTTAGATGATGGATATGTTGGTGTTAATGACATCGTCTCTACTTTTCTGTTGGTTTGAAAATTTTGATAATAAAATTGAAAATCATGATATGTTAAAGGAAGGAATATTTTGTACAATTAAATATAACATTTGTTTTTGTCTTTAAAGGAACCCATTCAGACTTCTGGATATATTTGTAACTTTGAGGATTTAGAAATTAAATCTGTTCTTTTGGATGAGATATTAAAGGTAATTCTTAAAAAATGATTATATATCTGTTGCTGGCTTGACTGGGATTCATTTTTGCACCGACACTTAGTATCCTGGTCAGGAATGTGCACCGAGGAGTCAGATGTATCTGGGTTCCAACCTTGCTCTGTCTCTTCCTTGTGCATTCTTTAGACAGGTTCCTCCATCGTTTTTACCTTCACTTTCCTTTCCTGTTTATGAGTCTCAGTTTTTACCTCTATAAAATGTGGATAATAATAGTACCTATCTTATAGGGTTGTTATTTTATAAAATAATGTGTGAAGAGAACTTAGCACAGTGCTAGGACCAAGAGCTCAAGAAATGGTAGCTAGTTGTTGTTGTCATTGTTTTTATATTAATAACAAAGAGGTACTGAAGGAATATTTGATAATTTACGTTAGTCGTTTTCTAGTTCTAGGATATTTGAGTAACTTTTTGTTTGGACGTCCACTCTCCTCCTGTTTTTTTTTGTTTTTAGATTTTATAAAATAATCCACTCCTGATTCCAGATATCTTTTTGAACCGCTACGTTGGCCCTCATTGACTATCCTTTGGGAATTTTTTCCTCTAAGAATACATTGAGAGCGATTTTACTTTCATTTTATCTAAAACATTTACTTTTCTATATATTACATTTTTTAGGGGGAAGTAGGATTTTAAATTTCTGAAAGTTAGTTGCAGTTTGTAGCATGGTTTGATATGTAAATTGCAGCGTTTCTATTATGAACCCGTTTTTTTCCCTATATCATGACCACCATGCAGTAGCAGGATGGGCCCACACCCAAAATTTGGTTTGGATGTCAAGAGTGATGACCCCACAGACACACTGAAAGGGTATAAAAAGGTTTGTTACTTACATAATGAGGCTCTTGGGGGAGAAAGGGCAGGCATCTCAAGCTGGTCCGAAAATGGTTTGAGAGATGAGGGAAAGGAGATTGGCTTGGGGTATTTTTGGTAGTTAGAGGGTGGGCTGGGGTGAGGGTTTCCTCGAGTAGGGGCTAGTGTAGTTTGAAACTCCTGCTGATGCTAAAGGATGTAGCACTTGGGCTTTCTTATCAGCCTGCCCAGATATGAGGCAGAAGGGGAAGGGTGAGGGGTGAGGCTTACAAGCTGTCCGCAGTCAAACTTTGAAAATGAAGTCTGAGGCTGTACTGCAATCTGGGATTATATAATCCCCAAATCTGACCATTTGGCTCCTTTCTGTGGATAGCACTTCTGCAAAGAGTAAAGAAAAAAATCTTGTCCTTGTTTAAGGTATGAAACTTGTAAAAGAATTGAACTTGTGTCATCTGCAGTTATTGTCCTATTTAATTTGAATATAGTAACAGAGAATATATCTCTTCCCCTTTTCCTCTCGTATGAATGAAGATTAAATCCTTTTGCTTTCTTCTTTCCTAAAAGATTTAGGGTTTGGGAATAACTTTTTAGAAGATGTGATTTTGCCAATATCTTTTTTAAAAACAAAGGTTTCTACCCATAGGTGGGTAGAAACAAACTAACATGGCTGAAGTATCTTGTCTATTTTTGTGTATTAATGGTTTGATGGAGAGTGAGCGTCTTGAAGCCCCAGCGTCTAGCAAAGGTCTGATATACATATTTGGTTCTCAGAAAGTGTTTGTCAAATTGATTTTTAAAAAATGAATAGTGACTTTATTGCTTTTAAAAAAGTGATACATGGTAATTATATAGAATTCAAGCAGTACAGAAAAGTGCTGAAAATAAAGTAAAAAAAAAAAATCAATCAGCCTAAATCCCACAACTCAGATATTTTAATCGTTAACTTCGGATAAATATCAGAACATCATTTCATACAGCTGTAAGCTGTGTGTGGAAAGATAGATTTGATAGATTAGATAAGTGAACAGAAGTAATTTTATAAAAATGGCATCATTGTACAATCTACTTTTTTAGTATTAAATTTAATTTTAATTTAATAACCTGAAAGTGAATTTAAAGGAATTTTAGGACTTTGGATAGTTTTTTTTTTTCCACCACAAACAACACCATTTTTCTGGGTTAAGAAAAAAAATTATGAAAAACTAAGAGGTTATCACTTTTAACCTACATTTTAATTTTTAATAGTATTGATTGTCCACTGTAAAAGATGACATTCTTAAATTTTCTCCCTCTTTCTCTCCTTTTTTTAGCCATATTATTATTTTTACATTGTCAAGATTTAGAACATTTACATTTTGTTTTGTAACCCTAATTTCCAGTTGTTTAGACTTATATTTAAACGAAAACTATTTCCAGTCTTTTTACTATTTTCTCTGTACATAAGTTCTTAATTTTGATTAATCTTTTGGTTGGCTGGATTTCATTATCGTGGTTTTTTTCAAGAAAGGCTCATAGTTGCTGAGCCTTAAGTTTTGCCTTCTAGTTGCCTTAAGTTTTAGAATGCTTGAAAATGCCTGTGGTGTTATTGCTATCATAATTGTATTGACTCTTATGAAGTGTTTTAAAGTATATATATTTAAATCGGTTAGGTGTACTCTGAGGTTCTTGATACACTGGGCACATTTTGTGTATATCTGATATTAGGATAAAGAATATCTACAGTACTGTTGCCCAGTTTACTGGCAGAGATTGTTGAACTGTAAGGGAGATCAAGTCTCTGACAGTTTTGTGATCTGACTTACTACATGCAAAGCCATTAAGAAAAGAATATTGTCATACGTTCCTTCCCTCTGGGACCTCATTGACCCAGGAAATATTTAGCTGAACTGTAGATTCTTTTAAGCATACAGTTTTAAGAAATAACATGAGCGTTGTAGACCTAAAACTAATACAATGTTGTATGTTAACTATATTTCAATAAAATGGGGGAAAAAAAGAAATAACCTGAGAAATTTCTTGGAGGACTAGAGAAGAAGGAATGCAAAAGGAAAAGGAAGGGAATTAACATTTACTAAAGTACCTTCATATGAGATGTTCATTTGTCATTACGTATTGTTCATTTTTCATTACAACCGTGCCTGGTAGATATTACACAGACCTCATTTAGATAAGAAGGCTCTTAGTGGGTAAAATGATTTACCCAAAGTTCATCTGTTCGTTGACTCAGCAAATATTTATTGAGAGCCAATAAGACACAGTTCCTGGCCTCAAGTAGAGTTGTTGGGGAGATAGACAAGAAATTCAGCAACCAGAAAAGGGTTGGGGGCGCTGTGATTCTGGTAGTAGGTGTATCTCTTCAAAGGTTGGAAGCGAGGGAGCAGTGGGTCAGTTCTGAGACTGTGAATAATGTGAGTCACACAGCTAAGCACTGTGCTAAATGTTTGATGTGTGCTATCACATTTAATCCTCACAACTCTAGGAAGTAAGTTTGATTATTACCTTCATTTTTTCAGATGAAGAATCTGAAGCTTGGAGAGATAAGCTAATTTGCCAGGGACACCCAGTTAGCAGTAGGCAAGGTGGGATTTGACTCCAAGCTGTCTGGCTTCGAAGCTGGTGTGTGATGGGTAGCAATGGCAGAAATGAGGAAGGGAGGAGGGGGCCTAGGTCATAAGGGACCGTGTGTGCCTGGCTGTGGAGTTTGGACTTCATCCTGAGTCAGTGGGGGAGTGAAGCAGGAAAGTGACATGATTGGGTTTACATTTTGGGAAGGTGTCCCTGGCTTCTTCGGTGGCCCAGGAGAAGGGTAGGGTAGGTTCTAGAAAGAGTTGTCATGTAGCCAGCAAACGATGGAATTAGGATTGAGCTTAAGTCTGTTTGAATCCAGACTTCATGCTCTTTCCTTACTGTTACCTCCTTTGTACTCGGGAGTTCCCTAAGAACTTTTCAGTTTCTGGATACAGTGCTTTAGTTGTAGGGCGAGGAGGGGGTGCATGCAGCTGAGTTCACCTTTTTGGAGAACTTGGGTCTCTGGGAGCCATTGCTGTTTTACACATGGGGGCTCTAATTTTCTTGTACGCTTCACTTTTTCATTACTTGGGATATGTAGGATATCGGTGAATTCACTATAACTGCTCGTTTCCTTTCTTTGATCATTAGCTACCTGTTTCCTGCAAGACTGGCCTTCAGTTTTGTTTGTTTTTTTCTTTGTCAGCCTGCTAAATTACGGAAGGAAAGTGGTGATGAAAACTAGCCCTTTTTCTTTTCTTTACCTGTTTGTCTGCTGCCCAACAGCGCATGGAATAACAGCTTCATTGCCCCGGCAGGGAAAGAGTAGATTTGGGAGTGAGGAGGAAGAGGCCTACACATGAGTTTTCTGCTCCAGCGGAGGCTGGGAGGAAGAGAGTAGCGCCTGGGGAACAGACCATTTGAGCTGAGGAAAACTAGGCCACAGACCTGTCAGGGATCTCTTCCACCACTGTCCCCCTTCCCATAGGCAGCCTGAGAGCCTCAGGAGGGGCTTCACTTGTGGGTTGTGGGTGTTTGCTGATAACTCAAAAGACCCACACATGGGAATTTCTTTTTTCTTTTTTTCTCTTTTCTTTTTTTTTGTGAGGAAGATCGGCCCTGAGTTAACATCTGCCAATCTTCCTCTTTTTTAGCTGAGGAAGACTGGCCCTGGGCTAACATCCATGCCCATCTTCCTCTACTTTATATGGGATGCTGCCACAGCATGGCTCGACAAGCGGTGTGTCGGCGCGCGCCTGGGATCCGAACCCGCGAACCCCAGGCCGCCGCAGTGGAGCGTGCGCACTTAACCGCTTGCGCCACCTGGCCGGCCCTGGGAATTTCTTTTCTCCCCAGTTTTGCTTACAATATGATGCAGTTGTTTTTTTTTTTTACTGTAAAAAAGAAACACATACTCTAAAGGCAACTGTTTGAATTTCTTTCTTTCCATCTTTACTTTTAGGATCCAGAACATCCAAATAAGGATTATATAATTAACTTTGAGATTCGGTCCCTGCGAGATAGTCGAGCATTGATTGAGAATGTTGGAATTGAAGATGCATCTCAATTCATAGAGGACAATCCACACCCCCGACTTTGGTATTTAAAAAAATACTCCTCTCAATATGTCGGGTGTATTTAACGTCTCCCCTCTGTCGTTCCCGGCTCATACTGGCCTCCTGGAGGGATGAGACTTCCATTCTTGCTCTTCTTTTTAAAACATAGAAATTCACTTTAGATTTGGAAGTACTCAACGTAAGCATAATATTATATGAAAAATGCTTCAAGGTGTTAAAATAATCACTTCCCACTGTGTTTCACTAGAAACAATAGTTATAGTAATTGAATTCTTATTCAAGATTTGTTTATCAGTCATTTGCAATAGGCTTTTCTGTTTCTGTTTGTAATAAAGGCGCCTACTGGCCGAAGCAGCTCTTCAGAAACTGGATTTGCACATGGCAGAGCAAGCATTTGTGCGCTGTAAAGATTACCAAGGCATTAAGTTTGTGAAGCGCCTGGGCAATTTACAGAGTGAGTCCATGAAGCAGGCTGAAGTTGCTGCCTACTTTGGCAGATTCGAAGAAGCTGAAAGAATGTATCTTGATATGGACAGAAGGTGAGAAATGAAGGTGCAATCATCCCGGAGTACTTCCAGAGGTCGTGATTTTGTTACAAATGAGGAATGTAGAACAGACTAAGTATTTTTCTTTTAGAAAATAATTTCAGTTTGGATTGTAATACATGATTCTCATTAATTTATGTTTTGTAATTTGAGGGCAGCTTTCTTCTCTATTTTTACATATGTTAATGGCTGGCCATGGGAGATTTTTTTCTTTAGGTAGGAAAAAAAAATCATATGACTACAGAAAATGGGGGCATTTATCACTTATTACACAGCTCATTATTTGGGTTCTCTTTTTTGATTTAGGCCATTATTTAATTTTGTGTTCTCAAGGAGCATGAAATAAAAAAGATATTTAGCGATTGAGTTTTATTCTTTGTTTCATTTTTGATTTGTATAAAATAATGCATGAATGTCATTTCAGCTGTAAACTTTATGTCTCATTTTCATTAATATTGTTTGTAATTCCAGGAGATCCCTAGTACAAGTTAAACACTGAAAAGAAAAATAAAACCAAACACGTGTACATTTGGTTTTGAAATAAACCTGATCATGTCTCAGAAATTGATGAAATGATTATTATTTAAGTCATTATTTTGCTAAGTAAATTGGAAGTCCAGGAAAATAAAAGGCAGGAAATTGTTTCCTTTTCCCTAGTCCAGGTTCTCCCCATTGCCTCTTCCCTGGTCAGGCTAAGTTTCTAAAATGTTTGGAGAGTTCCCTTGTCTGTCCTTTCACTGCAGTGTATTCTCAGTTCCCTAGAATGGAACCTAGCACATAGTAGGCACATGATAAATACTTGTTGGATGAATAAATGAATAAATGAGTGAATGAATGCCATTATTTGTAGAGATCTTGCTATTGGCCTCCGGCTGAAATTGGGAGATTGGTTTAGAGTACTCCAGCTCCTGAAAACTGGATCTGGTGATGCAGATGACAGTCTCCTTGAACAAGCCCACAATGCCGTCGGAGACTACTTTGCTGATCGACAAAAGTGGTGGGTAACCTATCTGGACCGCCTCCTCCATTCATCCAGCACTTACTTAAAATGGTAGCTGCTTGAGTACTTGCCTATGGAATAACACTAGGGAAATGAAGACCATCCTCCTGGATCCTAAAATTCAAATAGTTCTAGATTCACATTGGAGAGCAAGAGATCCTTAAAGTTGTTAGATAAGCATTGTAAAACTTTGGAGTTTCCAAAAGCACAAAACTTGCTCTTTGCTCCAGGCGGCTTTCGACTGTTTGAGACCGCAGTGTGCAATTCTAAGACATTAGATGATTTAATTCTGAAAAAAGTAAAAAAAGTATTTTATATTTGCTTGTTTTGTTATTATAGATTATTTTCAGAAATCATTGGCTTTATTCTTACGTTTTCATTTTGATCAATATACTTATTTATGTCAGTGTTTGAAAGTACAACTGTATGTCACATTAAAACAATATTTCTTAAGAATATTCATAGAATGTTGCAACTAAAATGTACACATTCTTTAGGTTTTTTTTTTCCAATTTATATGCTTCAAAGACTTTCTGTAACTGAAGGTGATGACTGGAGTAGTACTAGTAATTCTAGATTCTAGAATTCTAGTAATAACTAGAACTGGTAACTCTAATGAAGGAACATTTTTGGTGAAAGTGCTTATGTATCAGGAGATTCACATTAGTTTTAAAAGTTTTTCTTTTTTCTTTCCATAGGTTGAATGCTGTACAATATTATGTACAAGGCCGGAACCAGGAGCACTTAGCGGAATGTTACTACATGTTAGAAGATTACGAGGGACTGGAGAATCTTGCCAGTTCACTCCCGGAAAACCACAAGTTGCTTCCAGTAGGTATTGCACATTTTAGTTTTTGGAGTTTTAGGTTACTTTATAAGGTTTTTATGTTATAGACAGGAAATATCCTCTGCCACAAAGCAAATTAAAAATTACTCTATGATCTTACAGTTTCTTAGACATGGAATGATGCTTTTATTTTAATTGTTAAAACAGTATATCGATACTGTAGAATGCTTGAAAATGGAGGGAAAAATCTGTCATATTTCTACTATTTTAACATGATCACAGTCTTGTGTAATCTTATCAGTTTTATAAAATTGCTTTTACAAGTTAGCTGAACACATGAAATATTTACAGATGAGATGATATGTTGTCAGAGATTTGCTTCAGAATAATCCAAAGTGGGTCTGGGGAGTAGTGTGTGTGTATGTATGTTTGAAATTTGCTATAACAAAAGTTTAAAAAGATAGCTTGACTTTTATTAGGTTATATTAACAATAAAGTATTTAATGTTAAAAAAGAGAAACGAAAAGCAGAGTTCTCTGTAACTTTGTTTTGAATGTTCTTTTAAAGCCTCTTTTAATTAATGATCAAATAATGTGTATGAGTTTGTATTTTATTTATCTAAAGCGTAAATCACTGAGCTTCATAAATCACTCCAATACCATAGAGTTAGCAGCTGTCATCTGCAGGGTCTGGACATATATCAGTGGTGAGTTCTGCCACAAAAGTTTTGTCTAGTAATTAAGTATAGAATTCTGATAATTCTGTTTTCTCTATTGTGAATTAGAGCAGTTAGTCCTGTAACAATGGCATGTTCATGCACCCTATTCTCAGTCCTATGTGTTTTCTTGAGTAGGAAGGTAATTGAAATTACTTATAACCCTGGGTATGGGGACAGTGTATCACACGCATATATATATTCATAGGACAAAGATGTTAGGAAATTACACCAGAATATTGAGAGATGTTTCTTATGGATAGTAAGATTATGAGTAGCTTTACTTTTTCATATTTTCCAATTTTTGTACCATAATAATGTACTTTATAATCAGAAAAATGTAAGCATTGCTTTTTAAAAAGATAACTGGATACAAAATATACTTTTATGAGATTTCCCCAAATCTTTTAGTAGTGGTAGTGGGGAGAAAAACTCTGGCCAATTAGGTATTCAGAAAGAAAATAGTTGGTATTCTGAAAATAGAGAATACAGCCAAATGGGTATGATTGGTTTTTGTTATGGCTCTTTCTGCCTGCCACCACCCTCCAAGGGAGCTCTGTTTTGGGTCTAGCTTCCTGAACTGATGAATGGCCAGCTTGTCTGGGGCATTTCTTTATAGAGGTGTTTGAGAGCTCTGTGAATGTGAAGTTTCTCTTAAGCCTCTAATTGATGATTGAGTATACTATCAATTGCCTTAAAGGTTTTTTCACCCACTATTGTGGGTTTTTTTTGGAGCTTGATATTTCTATAAACTAGCTACTGAACCGAGAGAAGAAAAGAGGGCAGTGTTGTCAGGACCTGGTTAAAAATCAGATGCACGGCGTGACCCAGTGACGCCCTGGTTTTATAGAGGATGCCTTAGCATCCTCTCTGGTTGGTAGCATCTGCCCCTATGTCCATTTACAAGAAAACTCACTGTAACCACCAGTAAATTTAATATTCATATGTCCCTATGGAGTTTTATAAATTAAAATATAAGTGATTTCCTTGGTCTGTGAAATCTGATAGTATTGTTTTGTACTTACAGGAAATAGCACAAATGTTTGTGAGAGTTGGAATGTGTGAACAAGCAGTGACTGCATTTTTGAAATGTAATCAACCAAAGGCAGCAGTAGATACCTGTGTGCATCTCAATCAAGTAAGGAACTGAAAATTAGAGTCACTGTAGTCATCCTGTAAAGATTGTTGCCAATATAAGGGTTGGAGAGCTTGAGATGAATTTTGTGAAGGGAGCCAGACATTCTTTTACTTAGTTGAGGACCAAGAAAATGGAGTTTGCACTTACCCCTTGAAGTGCTACCATTAAGGGTGACCCACTCATAACTAACTCAGTGCAGGAACATGAACAAACCCTTACCTTTAGTCTGGCAAGTTTTTGTCTGGAAGTAATTTCATAATTTTCTGCATTTTATTAGGATGGAGTTTTGTTTCCAAAGAAGGACCAGTTAATGGTCATTACAAGAGGAAGGAATTGAGTTACTTTATCTGTATTTATTTTGGCAAATCTATTTTCCTTTCCCTTTATAGAAAACGTATATTTGATATTTTTAAGAGCTGGAATTTCACTAAAATTAAAGTGCAGAATTGTTGTTGAAATTGTTGACTATCAATGTATTCTTTTAAGTATTTTCTTAAAGAATTTTATAAAGCTCCATTTGCTTTATAAAAATAACTTTTAAATGTTAAATCTGATAGGACATTTTATTAACTGAAACTACATTTTGTTTTACTATAAACAAAGGTATCTTTTTCTCACTCATGATAATTCTCACTCAGAATTTGTACAAAATTAGAATTATAAGAGTAATGTGATTATAAACTTTGAAGCTTTCCTTTCCAGTTGTACTTCTTAAGCAAATCAAAGTCTTAGATCATTTAATCATTTTGACACATATTTAACTTATAAAACTTATAATTGCTCTGATTTTAAGTGACTTTTAAAAACATACCAGTTTTTAATTTTGATATAATATTATTTATTATTGTAAACTTAAAGCTTTATTTTGTGAATTTTATGACATATGTGACTGTAAATGCTTGGGTAACTGAATGGTGTTTTTTTTTTCTCAGTGGAACAAAGCTGTTGAATTGGCTAAAAATCATAGTATGAAAGAAATTGGATCTCTTTTAGCGAGGTATGCATCTCATTTATTGGAAAAGAATAAAACTCTTGATGCCATAGAACTCTATCGGAAAGCCAATTACTTTTATGATGCTGCTAAACTGATGTTTAAGGTAATGTAATAATCTTGGTGAGTATTTGGTTTCTTCTAGTTACCATTGTTTTCTTGTATCCTAAAGAATACATTTTCCATTTTCTTTGGAAACAAATATTTATTATAGCAAAATCCTTCTGGTTTTATTACTATTATAACTATGTGTTATCTTAGTATTATTACCTTTTGCTAACAAGGCTACTTATTAATATTAGTACCTTATTGATACCTAAACAATTGTATATTTACTTAATACTGAAGTTAACAAAATTATAGAATTTTCAGGGACCATAAAATACAAGTTTTCTTAACTAGGAATTAAATCCTGTTGATAATAGAATTTTGAGTTCTTTAAATGTACAAGTTTTAAAGACATTACACTTTTCATAATATGTAGTTGGAGGGAAAATGACTAGTATAGTATTAATATATGCAAATTTTACATTCTATTCTATTCTTTGCCCATTTGATTTAAATTAAAAATGAAAAATTTCCCTTGGAATCATTTAAATATATTAAAATGTCTGAAGGATGTACCATGTTAAAGCAGTCTTATCTTTGTGTACTTGGAACATTATTATTATTTTTTTTGGCAAGGAAGACTGGCCCTGAGCTACATCTGTGCCAATCCTCCTCTATTTTGTATGTGGGACGCTGCCCCATATGTGTAGGTCTGCGCCCAGGATCCGAACCCGTGAACCCCGGGCTGCGGAAGCGGAGCGCATGAACTTAATTGCAGGGCTGGCCCCCTGGAGCATTATTTTTAAAATATCTTTGTTATGGAAAATACTGCCCATTCCATGAAAACTTTCTTTATTCTGATTTAGTTATTTAACGGCATTTGTTATTTTCTACCATTGTTATGAGTTCTAACTCCAAGGGCTGAATGCTAAGGAAAAAACTAAGTACTTATCAATACTAAGGAAAAGAAAATGGGTTGTCAAATATTTGTCATAAATGGGTGGTTTTACTCCTTTTTTTAGAGAATCAAATTTCAGAAATGATTATATTTGTACAAATATAGATTAAGAAATATCTTCCCCCAATTCTTTAAATGTTTAAAGATTGCAGATGAAGAGGCAAAGAAAAGAACTAAACCTTTACGTGTGAAGAAGCTCTATGTACTGGCAGCTTTACTAATAGAGCAACACCACGAACAGGTGAAAAATGCCCAGCGAGGGAAAGTTAAAGGGAAGAGTTCAGAGGTAAATAACATTAAATCACCTGAAGTGTTTAAGAGAAAAAACTGTCAAGCTTGTCTTTATGGACAGGTCATTTAATGTGCCTGTTTGCATTTATTTTCTTAAATGATGTGAGGAAAAGGAATGACTGATTTGGAATTAGTACTCAAATTTAGAAATTTCTACTTGGAAATATTAAAAATGAAAATTATTTTTTCTACAAGACTAATCTGTGTCTTGGCTTTAATTAATTCCTTACTTGGTAAATCCTTTCTAATCAGTGAGTTTTAAAAACTTTCCCAGAATATGTATATTATTTAATGTATAAATTAATTATTCTCTTATTAACTTAAAGTTTAATCAATTCTATTTTAAAATTTGATCACACCATGGAGAGAATTGTTTCACGATGTATACATATATCAAATCACCACAATGTACCCTTTAAATATCTTATAATTTTATTTGTCAATTTTACCTCAGTAAAGCTGAAGAAAAAATGTGATCATACCAGTTTAACAAAATATGAATTACATTGGAGAAAGTAAGTCTGTAGTGATAGTTTTGTAATTATAAAATCTGCTAATTTAGATATTTTAATGTATAACAGTTTCAGAAGTTCTCTTCATTGGAAGGACCGTTGTCACGGTTGTGCTGACGGAAAATGTGGGTCTGCTTTCCTTGCAGGCCACTTCTGCTTTGGCTGGTCTGCTAGAAGAGGAAGTTCTGTCTACAGCTGGTCATTTCACAGACAATGCTTGGAGAGGGGCCGAGGCCTACCACTTTTTTATACTGGCCCAGAGGCAGCTCTATGAGGGATACGTTGACACTGCATTGAAGACAGGTGGGCTTGTTACCTAATGCAGATGATATGTCTAAAAATTATAAATTGAAGTGAAGGGCCAGCTTCTTCAATTTGCTGTTATATTAATTTCAATAACACTTTTATCTATGGATTTATTTTTATACGTTTGAGATTTGCTATCTGTAATTTTTGTGCATTCTCCTCTTTGAAGTTGTTCTTATTTTTTAATATGTAGAAAGCAATACATATAGTTCACAGAAAAACTAGAAGTTTGAAATAAGCAAAAAAGAACATTTATAGCATTCACTCTTCTACCCGTTCAGTTAAACACTTAATAGCCCAGTCCATATCCTTTTGTGTGTGTATGTGTGTATATAAATAATTTTTTATTTTGCAATATAGAGAATATAACAGGCCATACTTTTGTGTACTTTTAACATAATAATATGTTGCAAAATATTTCCATATTAGTAGATAGATTTCCATAGCATTTAACTTATTTTTTTATAAAAATGATACTTATATAGCAATTTTAACCAAAACAGAAAAAAAAAAGAAAAAGGTAAAATAATAATTTATAAAATAATCTTATAACTCAGAGATAATCATTGCTAACATTTGGGTGAACTTCCTTTTAGACTTTTTCCATGCGTATAAAATCGTATACAGTTTGACTTGATATAACATCATACAATATACGTTGTTCAGGAGCTTGCTTGTTACCGTCAACAGTTGTCTTTGCAGTTATCTTCCCATGTTGGTAAACATAGATCTGTGTCATTTTTATTGTGACATAATATGCCATCGTATTTATGTGCTATAATTTATAGAAGATTATTTACATGCAATATCAAGATCTTCATTTCTGGCTTAATGATATTCTATAGTTTAAATATGTTAACTCCAAAAGGGCATAATTATAAGAATTACGTTATAAACCAAAGCATATGAATGACTAAAGCGTCACAACGCTTTCAGATGGGCCATAACAACAGTGCAGGCACTGTCACCCTCTGCCCAGCCTTCCTGTGTCACATTGGTTGGGCCACTGTGAAATCACCAATCTGCTGCTCGTGTCATCGACAATACACCCTGATATATCCTCAATTTATATTATAATGGCATGATCTTTAAAAGAAACCCTTTAGAGAAAGTCTTCTATTTGGATGTTTCTGGAATTTCATAGCAAGGGTTTTTCTTTTTCTTTTTACATTATTTGTGTAAGAGCTCTTATAAGATTATATACAGTAACCCTCTGCCATATGTATTGATTTTCCTTAGCATTTCTAAGTTATAATTACTTATCCTCTCTAAGCTTCAGTTTCTTTTTGTGAAAAGTGGGGATAATAGTATCTCCTTCATAGGATTGTTTTAAGCATTAAGTGAGAAATTTGTGAAAAGAAAATTCACTTGTTATAGTGCCTGGACATTGTGAGCCCTCAAGCAGTGGTAGCTGTGATGATGATATTAATAGTGGTTTTTGATATGGTCTGATCAATCAGTCTTTTACTTGATATATTTCACTTAGGGGTCATGCTCAGGAAGTTCTTCACTGGAAGGTTATTAAATATTATATTTTATTATAACTTCTTAGTTTCCTAAAAACATTTATTAAAATCTTATTCTTTCCTCACAGATTTGAAATTCTACCTTCATGAAACTAAGTTTACATATTCTTAATCTCTTCCTAGACTATTATTTTCTAGTCACGAATTTCTGTCAGTACTGCCCTCTTAGTTACCTTACTTTTACATTTTAATATTTTGAATTTCAGCTCTCCTTCATTACTCTTCTTTTTGAAAAAAATTTGGGGTATTCTCTTGCATTTGTTCATCCAGATTAATTTTAGAATCGTTTTTTAGAGTAGGAGGGGTTTCGGTGAAGTCCCATTGGATTTTGAATTAGAATTGCGTTAATTTAATGTATTATTAATGGGATCATTGATAAGTTTACAATATTGAGTTTTCTCATCCAGAAACATCAGTTTTTTAAAACTGTATATCTGTCTTCTTTCTAGAGTTCTGTAGTTTTATTCTTGTATACTCTGAGCATTTCTTTTGCAGTTTCTTCCTATTTTTGTTGTCGTTAGCAATGACTCTAAATTTTTTTTCTAATTGGTTATTAGTTGTACATAGGAATCATTTTTATTTTTATGTGTTTACTTTATAACTGACCTTCATTTAATTTTAACTAATTAATATGATACAAATTATGCACTGTTTAAAATAGTTGTATTTTATATAATTTATGCACAATTTCTAGACTTCTAAGATAAATTAGACCTTTAACTTAAGATTCTTCACCTACTGGTGAAGATATCTGTATACTTCAGTATTTTTGTTTTTCACTGATAAAATGATCTGAAACAATGTATGCCTTGTAAATTATTGCCTATGAACCTGTGAAATTAGAAAGTATTATTTATTGGAACTGAATGAATTTATTTTTTGTAAATTTCTTCCAGTGAACTTTGTTGTAAACATTTGACCCCAAAAGCAGTTTATAGGAATCTAATTGTAAAATACATGACTATATTGTTTTAAATTGCTTTATGAAATGCCCAATATTATACTATAACAAGATATTTTTAAGATTGCAACGTCTAGAGAAGAAAAAGATACAATTTGGTTACCAATCTGATATTAATTCTACAGTGCATTTTTAAGAAAGAGATTATATCTCCAGTATAGAAAAATTGAAAATAAGATGTGGTTAGCTGTCAAAATAAATTGTCTGAACTGACAGCTTAGAGGCTCATTTTCGCTTCTCTTTTCTCCAAGTTCTATTGTTTCAATAAGACAGAAAAGCAGACAGAAAAGCAATAATCTGTTCAAAGAAACACAAAGAGAAAACATATGATTTTATACTTTTTTTTTTTTTTTACAAAGGGAAACATGATATCTTGAGAATTATGACTAACATAGTATAATATTAATTTACCTTTTCTGGAATGCCACAAAAATCTCTAACATATTTATATGGAACAACAGATGTGTGTTTCGATACGAGATTTTTTGGTCTGTGTGTATGTGCGTGATTTGGTGGTGGTGATTTTTATAGGACCTGAGCTGTTGGCTGGCGTTACAGAACCCCAGAGGTCATGTCGCCTGCTTCCTCCTTCTAGTGCACCCATCTCCTGCCATTATTTTCTTTCAGTCTGCTCAAGTTCATGTAGGTTAAACTAAAACAGCTTAACATAGATTCTTTCCCATGCATGTTCATGTTATCATGATTACTTTTCAAAATCCACATTGTCCTCTCTTTCCTAGCTCTTCACCTGAGAGACTATGAAGACATTATCCCCACCGTTGAGATCTACTCTCTGTTAGCACTCTGTGCGTGTGCCAGTAGAGCTTTTGGTACTTGTTCAAAAGCTTTTATTAAACTTGAATCTTTAGAGACCCTCAGTTCAGAACAGAAACAACAATATGAAGATCTTGCTCTAGAAATCTTCACCAAACATACTCCAAAAGATAACAGAAAATCAGAATTGGACAGCCTTCTTGAAGGGTACGCTAATTGTAATTAGCAGATGTCACTCTACCTTATTAGAATCTGGGATTTCTATATGTATAATAGTGTATAATAATAATGAAAGCATTAAATCTTGAAGTAATTTATCTTAACATTATACCCTATTTTATTTAGTTTTACAAGCATATTAATGCTTTATTTTCTCATTGTAAGAAAAGTTTTAATTTGGAGTTTACCTTGAAATATTTTTCATTCTTCAGTTTTTTAAGTGTAGTAAATAAAGTTTTGAGTAATTAGAAGGCTTAAAGTATAATTAAATTGTCTTTCCCCTTATTTTTACAGAGGGGAAGGGAAACTGCCCACATGTGTTGCCACAGGAAGCCCAATCACTGAATATCAGTTCTGGATGTGCAGTGTATGCAAGCACTGTGTTCTGGCTCAGGAAATCAGTAACTACAACTTCTGTCCCTTATGCCATAGTTCAGTGGGATAAAGAAATGACAAACTGCATAAAATTGTAAAATAAATGTAGCAAATATATATATCTGTAACTGTATATGTAATAAGGTTGACTTGCATATGTTTTCCTATATATATATATTGACTTCCATATTTTTTAAATAATTTTGTGTAAAAATACAACTGTGAAATAATGATGCTGATTTTCAATAAAAAATGTGGAAATCAACCTTATTTTCTGTCTATGTATGTATGTATGTATGTATGTATCTATCTATCTATCTATCTATCTTGTGGCTGGTTACATGATACAATGGAAATATTCCAAATGAGAAATTTTTCTCACACTGTTAAGGTTACTAATTCATTAAAAAGCCTTGGGGGGAAATGGGGGAAACATGAGAGTGGGGCAAAGTTGAATTTAGGGAATTGATATAACCTGTATTAGAAGGAGGTTAAACAATTGTAAGACTGAAACGAGCTCTAACTCTGGCTGTATTTAATTAAATAAGTGTTGGATGTCTTCTCTATTTTATTTTCAGAAGTGAAGAGAAGGCATTTTAAGACATTTTCTACATTGTTTCTAATAGCCTTATTTTTTTTATAGCTTTTCCTGTTTTATCTAGCCTTTTAGTCTCATCTAAGAAATGGCATTTGGCATTTACTCTTCATGTTATTGTGCAGAAAACTTGGCTTTATTTATAATGATATCAATTTATACAAAAACATCCATTTTGTAGTTATAGTTTCAATTGAAACATTGCCACCAAGCTGGATTGTTTGTTTAAACAGCTCTCAGGCTGTAGGAAGTGATTCTTTCTTGATATGCGTCTGTTTTGACTTATCAAGTTGCCTTGATATGGTAGCAGCCTCCAAATATACTACAAAGGAAGCCATTCCAGAGGTCATGGAACAGAAAGGGTTACAAACCAAATGAGGATGCTCAAATTGCATGGTTATTGAATCAATTTGAAATACACAGTGAGGAACAAGGAGAAAGTGAGGGGGTAGATTACCACTATTAGGATAGGGGGCCAGTGGGTAGAAAGATTACAGTGCGTGAATCCTCAGTTATGTACTGTTCTTATGTCCTGACTATCTGCCTCACCAGCTTCCCCCAATAGTGTGATTATGAGCAGGACCAGAGTTGAGGTTTGAGCCAGGGGACCCAATCAGATGGAATGTGTCTTCTACACTTGCTCTGGAGAAGAAGCTCTGGGGCAAGTACACCTGGTCACAGCTGTAGGTTGCTGAATTAGCCTGCTGAGCAGTCATGGATTCAATTGTATTTCCTGGGCAGAGGATGGGCCAGAATAAGTGTCATCAATGGGTAATTGAATCAAAACCTCATACATATTGAGTGCTTTATAGGTCTCATGCATATTTAGTGTGTCATGAATAGTTAGGTCCCTGGTTACCTTTTGTATTTTTAGTGCCTCATCAATATTAGGTATGGTCACACATATATGCTCTATTATTTACTTTGTCTAACATGTCTCTTAAGTTACTTATCTAAGTTTAACACAATGAATTTCATTTGTCTTTTTCTATGACAGAATAGAATATTCTCCTAAATCAGAAAATAACATCCTAACAAAGAGATCAGCCCTAGGGAATATATCTTCTGTTGAACTTAATTACATCTTTCTATAAGACTTTCTGTTTTCAGGAATGAAACTGTTCTCTGCTTCATTAATGAAAGAGAAATTTTCAAGAAATTTGTAGGTGAAGGGTTCCTGCAGGACTGCATGTTCAGAGTTGTGATTCTTGGTCCCTGGTCTAACGCCTGAATATCTCTTCTTTCTCTTTCCCTTTCCCATCTCAGGAATCAGCTGAGAACTCAAAGTTAAATTGTCATTCCTCTAGCCCTTACTGTGACTTGTTGATTACACTCCCATTTGCTTCAAGTCCAAAATCAGCTGTTGATTCCTCAAGCCTTTCCTAACATTTTTTGTGAACTCTCTTGGAGCCTTCTCATTTGACACTTAATTCCATGTTGCCTGAGCCCTTGAATTTTTCCTGAAACTAATTATTTCAGATAGAGCCTGAGTTGCTGTCGCTACTTCTTGTTCGGTTTAATCCAGAAACCAAAAATCTCTAAAAACAACCTGTCATACCTTGTAGACCTAATTATCATATATATACATACGTGTATATACACATACATATATACACACACAGATGTATCTTTTCTACTACTGTAAAAGCTTATGACTGTTTGGGATTTATATCTGTGCAAGTTTTAGCGATAATGTCTTGGAGACCTTTGTCTTGCTTGAAAATGGTACTAGAGAAAGACCCACAGTATGAGTTGACCCTATTAGCTTTATTCAACATGAAGGAAATTTCATGATAACACCACCAACCAACTCTCCCCTGATGGAAGGGGCAAAGAGAAGAAAAATTGTCTATAACAAATACTTGGAGAGAAGTTGGACAGACAAAATGTGGTAATATAGTGGATAGTATAATGAAACAGTTACGGTGTTCTCTTCTTGTAATAAGCATGAACTGACTCCCTTTAAGTAATGCTGAGTTGTTCTTTATCATAAAACTTGGCCTGAATTATGTTAAGTTTCAAAGTAGCACGGTAGGCCGAAGTACTGAGATGATGGAACCAACTGATAACGCTATCCTGATAAGCAATGTGCCTAACGAGCAACATAGCATAAATGACCTGTTGTCAATGCACAAATGCTAATTTTATTATACATTTTTTTTTTTTTGCTAAAATACACTTTGGAATTATCTTTTTGTATTCTAGTAGCTGAGATCTTAGGTTTTATGTGGCATTAAGTAAAGAAAAATATGACAATAATAAAATATTGAAGTAAAAAGGACTTGTATCTATCCTGTTTCATTTATCTACAACTTATGCTTAACATGGTTTTTGTTTGTTTTGACTTAAATATTTTGGTGGGGGTTGGTTAGGAGGGTGTTGGGCTTCAGAGTGGATAAGGGGAGAAAGGGACAGGAGGTGCAATAGATGTACAATATCATTTTTGCTACCAAACAGGAAGAACAACTTCTAAAGGTACCAGGCAAATGTGAGATGACTGGAGGTTGCAGTGAATCACTCCTTAGAGGTCACACAGAGTTCTCATTTAGAAATGGGGAAAATTATGTTACCACACTTTTAAGAGAAAATCAAGAGTACTTATTTGATGATTTCATAGCTCCAAGATATTGCTACTGAGTTTCTAAAATGAAAAAAGCAATATTATGTCACCCCCTACTGCCTATTCCTATGATTATTTTCTCAATTCATTTTTTTATTCTTTAAGAAATTAACATTTATTGTTCTTTAAGTATAAAAGTAAACACATGTTCATGGTAGAAAACTTCAAAAATACATAGAGCATAGATGAGAAAGTAAAAATAGTCTTTTTTTTTTTTAAAGATTTTATTTTTTCCCCCCAAAGCCCCAGTAGATAGTTGTATGTCATAGCTGCACATCCTTCTAGTTGCTGTATATGGGACTCCGCCTCGGCATGGCCGGAGAAGTGGTGCCTTGGTGCGCGCCCGGGATCCGAACCCGGGGCCACCAGCAAAGGAGCACGCGCACTTAACCGCCAAGCCATGGGGCTGGCCCTAAAAATAGTCTTAACTTTTTAAAAAAATAAAAGCCATTAATTTCTATTTTAGTAGAATTTAGGAGAAGAAAAAACTGAGGTGAAACAAGAAATTCCTGTACTATCAGTTTTCTTCATAACAAGACCTATTTGTTCTTAAGAGATTTCTCTAAAATTAAAAGAAAAAGTAGACATTAAGAGGCTTCGAGTTACTACTTTGTTTAACTACTCATTTCTTATTTGGCATACTTTAAATTTCTATTGTTAGTAAAATTCATAAATTGTTAGTAAAATTTAGAGGAATTTAGAGAAAAATGAGATACCTTTACACACACACTATAATAGCTAAATTAAAACTGACAAGTATTGGTGAGGATATGGAGCAAATGAAATCCTTATACATTGCTGGTGGAAATGGAAAATAGTACACCCTTTCTGGAAAAGTGGAGTTTTAGAAGTTCTCCATATATTCTGGAATTCTCTCTCTCTATTCTATATATAAAAACATGTCCGTGTGTGTATATGTATACATATACAATTTTTTTTTAAACTGCTCCAGTTAACAAAAGGGAAGCTTTACTGAGGCCCCAGGGCCATGGGGCTCAGGCAGGAGGCTGCCCTGTGGAGGAAGGAGGAGCCTGTGGAGGGACCGTATTTGACTTTCTTCTTGGGGCGCAGCTTGTTGGTGTGGTCACACTTCTTGCAGCAGTTGACACCATGAGGTTGCAAGCGACCATAACACTTTCGGTAGATCATCTTGTTGCAGTTGTATTTCTGGATGAGCTGGTGGAGGGAAGGCTTGGAGATGCCACCCCACAGGCAAAGCACTAAGTATAGACAGAGTCCATGGAAAACAGCATGAGAGTCGGAGAGCGGCAGCAATGGAGCCTGGCCCCAGCAACTCACTTGCAGGGCAGGTGTTCTATAGACCAGAGCTTCTCAAGTGATAGAGACACCATGTCAGAATCCCGTGTGTATTCTATGAGTAGATGGACACACCAGCTTAGCCTGCCCCACAGACTTTCCATCTCTGCATTGTCCATCCTTAATCAGATACGTGATTTGCCGACATTTTCTCCCATTCTCTGGGTTGCCTTTTTACTGTTGATATATTTTTGATGCACAAAAGTTTTTAATTTTCATGAAGTTCAATTTTTCTTTTGTTTTCTGTGCCTGTGCTGTCATATCCAAGAAATTGCCAAATCCAATGTCATGAAGCTTTTGCCTTATGTTTAAGAATTTTATATTTTTGGCTCTTACACTTAGATCTTTAATCAATTTTGAGTTTTTTTTAATATGTTTAGGTCTAACTTCATTCTTTTGCATGTGGATATCCAGTTTTCCTAGCACCATTTATTGAAAAGACTGTCTTTATGGTGATACTGTTTTGATTACTGTAGCTGTGTAATAAGTTTTGAAATCAGGAAGTGTGAGTCCTCCAACTTTGTCCTTTTTCAAGACGGTTTTGGCTATTTGGGATCCCCTGAAATTCCATATGAATTTTAGGATGGATTTTTTTTGTGTCTGTAAAAACATCA